ACGCAAAAAAGCAACGTGAACAGGAGGAAATTTCCGAAAAGATGCAAAAGGGAAAGCTCAAATTCAAAGAGTGGATTGAAAGAAAGAACTTGGAGGCTGCACAACGTAAAAAAATGGCTGAAATTGCTCTAATAGAAAAGAACGCAGAAGAAACAAGGAAGAAGGCCCTTCAGGTTTACAATTGCGTCCAGTTAATTTATAGTATTTTTCCATTTGAAAGCAAATTTTTAATCTGTCTATTCCTCTGCAAAGCTTGAATAGTTTGTTTTTGATTTTCCTTAGATCAATTGACCAGCCATTAAGCTATTAATGGCTTTTCTTTAGCCAAAACATTATAGGCTCTACATACTTTGTGTGTGAATTTGGAGCCTTATAGTCACATATTTTAGATTCTGTAACGCTGCGTGCTTCATGGTGCCTTTTTTGGACGACTGTTAATCCCTATCCATAGTTAGCGTTCTTGAAGTTTTGTAGTTCTATCTAAGCAAATGTTGCGGCTGTTTGACAGGCCAACTTATAAACGGTTTTATTTTCTCTTTCCTTGTAAAAAAAGATAAAATCAGAAGAAAGATATCAAGAGTGGTTGAATAAAAAGAGGAAAACAGATCAAACTAGGCGCCAAAAGAGAGAGACAGAACTTTCCAGGCGTGAGCTTGCTGCCCGACAGAAGGAACTGCAAGCAAATACTTGCTTCAAGAACTGGCTTCGGAATCGCAAGGGATTAAATAAGCGAATTCCCCAGTCCTATTGCATCTCTAATGGCACCTTTGAAAGTACGTATTTTAACGAAGGAAATTTGTGTTCAAGTGTCTACTTAAAAGTCGTCTAATGGTACCATATCGAACGTTTGGTGACTTGCTAGTTCTGACACCCAACGCTAAGTTTTTGCGCTAAAGTTAGATTATTATTAGCCAGTCGTACTAAGTTATTCCGTTACTTTCATATTCTTGCAGTTTAAAATGTTCCCGTTGGGCTGCAATTAGTTCGCAGTTTTCCAGTTGTCATGGATTAAATGAATTTTTATGTGATAACCTTTAATACAAGGAAATTGATTAACCCACCTTTAGGCGTATTTATGAATCTGAAACCATTTGCTCCGTTAAAAGTGCTGAACTTCTTGGTGGCTTTGCCCATCATATTATTAGAAAACTTGACTCTTCTTCCACAATAAGGGCTGCACCCTTGCCCAACCCACATGTTTTAAATTAGCTAGGGGTTAATCATGTTAAATACCGTGTTTTAGTAAGTCCCCTCTAAACTTCAGTCTGGAATAATTATGTATATATTTGATTAATATTTACTAATTACGATAGGCTTCTTCTCGAGCAAATTGTTTTTACTATTTCAGCCTACTTCGATAGGACATCTGCCCCATCACCGGGTTTCTTTAACAAAACTAATTGGGTTTCTTAAATTTCCATTTTTGCGCTTATGTTATGCCGTATATTGTACTAATTAAATTGTAATTTGCTGCTTGATTCAGGAATTTGATAAGTTCGTATCCTTTTGATTGGTAAATATAATGTTTTAGATAGGCACAATTTTAGTGCTGAAACTCAAATTGATTTATAATAAGAATTATGTTGCAGCCTTACGGCATCACCTATCACAACTTTGTGCACTGGAAATTTTGTGTTTGTAATTTTTGAAGGACATATACAATGTGTAATAACTCTACCCCCATTTGCTCTAAGTTTTCGTTTACCCACTTCATAACCCTCTTTATCAGGTTTCTTCTGTGCTGACAGCTGTGATGTTACAGTTGCTTAAAGGGCTCAAACCCTTTTTAAGTTATCTCACTATGTCGTTGAGTTAAATAAAATTACACCCAGAGGATATTATTCGCTCTGTAGTGTGAAAGGATTGTGAAATTCACTGAGCACAATACTAAGAAATTATCGTGAGATAGCAGCTAAGAGCATCGATTCGATTTGTTGGAATTCTTTCTGCATCTATCAAAGTTACCTTATTTATAGAATTTAAATAAAGCTTAGAATCGCTGCGTTGCCTTTTGTGTGCGATAATTTCCTTAATGTCATTATGACACATTGTACGCAGCATTCCACATTCCTTGATGGCTTTTATGACTACCTTCATCGTTGCTATACATTAGCGATTACCGTGTTTTGTAGTGCCTCCACTCTAGCCTTAGTAATAACGGCAACTTTGGTCTCAAGGTCCTTTGCGCATTTCAATTTCATACACAAGGTTTATGCGGGTGGTAGAGGCGGTTATCTTAAGCGTTTAACTCGCGCTCTGTTATTCTTTTTCATATGTAACTCCTAGAAATACATTATTTTGGTGGCAGACAACTGGTTTCAAGTAGAACCTTAACAGGTTTTGAAGCTCTAAGCAAGCAAACGTTTTGTGGAGGCCTGAAGAGGTAAAATGTCTGTCATCGTCCACAAAAATGGTTTGGTATCGGACATCTGCTAACAAATAGTTTAGAATGAGTATTCTGTATGTGATTTGTGCAAACAACAAAATTACCAGCATTCCCGAGAACGCCACTCAATCTGAAGCTTGCGAACTCATTTAACTTCCCTCTTGGGCTGGATTGAGATTGACATATTGGCATAAATGAATTATTAAAATTGAAATGTTACCATGACTTTGAGAAGTAAACCTTTTGTCTAAAGTTAGTCGTCTTGACCAATCATTGTTGTTACAGCTTAACCATATTCTACATGAAAGTACTGATCAATAAGCCTGCGATCACCCATCTACATTGGTAAAGAGGGCAGTGATTCATTAAAACTCGCCAAAGTGGAAGTGCGTTTAAAAGGCTTCGATGGGGCAAGTTTAATAAAATTTTCATAGTCAATCGGCTGTTGGTCTTAGGGTTTTGCTACACAGCAATGTGCCGGAAATTCGGTGTGTGCTTGCGTCGTTGGAGCAGTTGTATTCGCAATGGGGTACGCAACTAATTCAACACCATTGAATTAAATTTCAGAGAGGATCTCCCGTGGGCAATCTGGCCTAGAGATTGACGCCCACAATCAATGACAGGGTTTTTGGTAGTATTTTCTTATTTTAAATGCTATACCTTTTATTACTGCCTAATTCAGGTATTTTGTGTGCGCTGTGAGACTGCTGCCGGTAATCGTTCCTTACAAGCTCTTCTGAGTGGTTAAAAAAGCGGAGTTTCTGTTTTGAGCATGGGAAGTCATATGTATTCATGCAATTGTTACATTTTCTTGAAATTCACATACTTTTCTGGCAAACTTGATGCGGGCTTCGGTACTACCGAGCGGGCGTACGCTTGAGAAGATCGCTGTGGATGCATGAATCACATTCAGACTTCCAACTATTAAACTAACATTTGCTGGAGTCGTCTATGAATCCTAGCGGTCTTTAAAAGAATCAACTTAATTGGAGCACCTGAGTGCGACCAATTTTTACTTACGTGAAAAACTGCATTCCATTCGAGTAGTGTGCGTGGGTTCGTGTTCTAATGTAAGATGTCATGGTGGTGTGCAAATTCATATCTTTAATTGGCACCTAAAAATTTATCGATTCACTGAGTTTTGAACAAAAACAAATGCGAAATCTTGTGCTGAAAAAGCAAATTAATCCCCGATTACATAAGTATTATCCTGAATCTAAAACCATCATCAAATTGTGCTTAAAATGTTTCTTATGGAAGGCAATAATCTGTGAATTTCATCATAAGATAAACACATTTAACGCATTAGTTTGGATGGTTTATAAGTAAGCCGCGGTTGAATTGGGTATTTAAGGATTATGCAGCCAGTTTTTCAATTATTTGTGAATGGAGCCGTCATCCTCAAGATAGGGCGTTTTGAGATAATCGGCATGTTTTTACGTTGAATATTTAAGAGTTTAAAAATAATAATTACTTTTAGACAAATGAATTTGCGATTTATGTTGGTCGTTAATTTAGACCATAAAATCACCCTAGAACATTCTCCATTTGTTAAAACTGGCAGTTGTAATGATCGGATCCCTTTCTTATTTAATTTTTTCCTTTGCTTTTTGTGACATTTCTTAGAATCCCATCTAAGCCATCGAATTTCACCTCTATAGACAAAAACATGGGTGCCTGTCTGCATATTTTTGCTTATTTTTATCATTTTTCTCCTGTGGTTAACGCTGGTTATAGTTATACCAAATAATTTGGCCTCACAAAGTCATGTATTTTTTCATGAGTTATTCATTAAATTTGGGTTCGGCCGAAGATTTATTGAACAATTTTTTATGATCCTGGTGGGGCTTTTGTTTTAAATCTTCCTACACCGCCAATGCTATACTTTTAGTGAACATCAGACCGCACCAAATTAATGAAAAATAAGAATTATCATTAAGTCGAACGCATCGCTGATTTGTTGAGAAATTAGCGTGTCTCGATTGATTACAAGTTAACCAGTTTAAGTTAATCAGCTTTCAATTTAAGGTTACCTTAGTAATGCTCATAAGTTGATAAGGCATATATATGCTCCTCAGCCTTTTTCTGCTCCAAGTTTACGAAATCTAAAATACTTAATGTTTGCATAGAAAGGTGCAAGCCAAAAGAAAGAGGGTCAGAATTTCGGGTAAATCTAGAGTAAACTGGCTTTAGAGTAGACCTTTACAGAGCTCGAATTGGAAGATGACAAATTTTACTAAAAACGTGTATGTCTTTAGCTATTAGAGTTTAAATGAAAATACCAATAGCCAATCTAGGTACAGTTTTGTTTTCGCTTAGCAATACGATGGTTTAAAGGATCGAAAGTGGTCTAAATGAGTTATTACGAAATTTGTGGAGGATTGACTGGATTCATTTTAGTTTTTGAGGAATTCCGAGGCCAATGAATCGATACAAATCCCTACCAGACGTCTTGGTAAAACGAGAAGGCCTGCAGATCTTCATTACTGTTCTTGATAGATCCAATAATTCTGGGCTCGTAAGACCATTTTTTCAATTTCTAAATAAGCGAGAAATAAAGTAGCACTAAGGTTGGCAAAAGAAATTGCTTGTGTTCGGGTTTTTGAAAAAGCGTCTACTGCTGGACGTCTTTGGGAATAATTGAATGCCACATGGCAACAGGTCGTCTGGGGCTCTGCAGCATCTCCTGCCACTGTTTTTGGTTTGAAGCTTCATTTACTGTGGTCCCGAGAAGTACTTTTCCGAAGGTTTTTAGTAACCCACCATGGGTCCTGTATTTGATGCTCAAGGTCAGATCAGCCAACATGAGCTTCTCTCGTTTTACAGAAAATATTAGGGTGTCGCCATAATAGGGATTAACGGTGTTACTGCGAAAATCTGTTTTTTTGTTTGCGAGTTTTTTATTCCCAATATGGAGGGTGACAGACACCATGGTGTCAGGATACCGCTTTCCATGTAATAAAGGTAAAGCTAGCTGGCGAGCTTCCAGAACATTAACATGAAGTTCTTCTTCCTGAGGCATATTCTTGAGGACAACGCAAAGTTGACCAGGCTCATCATCAGCCCCCATCGATGGGCCCAGGTATCCAACAGCCTCATGTGTCTTCCCTACGTAGTTTTCCATTGGGATGGATTCAAGTCTCACCACCAACTCGCCGATAACAAGATCTTTCAACTTCGAATCATAGTCGTAGACGATCATCCTGATTTGTGTCAGTTTTAGATTGTCATAAGGCAACTTATAGCTGAATTGTTCGTTGAAGGATGCACTTTGACAGTCATGTTTGATTTCAGTCCTGTAAATCGGTGTCTTCTTCTTGTGTTTCCGTGTAGGTTTATCAATTGGGTCATCTGTCGTAAGGACCAGCTTTACATAGGGATCCAGCTGATCAGAAGCTGATTTTGCCGTTAAATCCATCACTTGGATGATGCCCACCTTCAGTTCATTGGTCTTCATGTTGTACTCGAGCGAGTACTCTAAGGTTCCTAGGGCATCGACATTGCCACCTTGGCCAGGCAACTGATCAACGTAAAGGGATGGCATTTTTTGATACGTGGCTTTGTGTTTCTGGCGCTTAGCACAACAACATCTGCATATACAAATAAGCCCAATGCAACCAAGTAGAATAGCAATAAAGATGAGAATTAGAACAAAAATCAACAGTGCACTTCCTGTAATATTGAGAACTCCACTTGCCCAAGCAAGAAAAGGATTAGACATCAATGGATCCGGTACAGGAGTTGTGGTAGCTATAGATGCATTCCAATACGCTTTTGTAATCATTTTTCCTGGTCGATGAAAGTACAGCAGTGGCAAGCACCTCCGGTGAGCGCCGAGGCGAAAGTGAGTAAAAAATTGGCTTCCGCTGCTTGAATGTGAACACACACTTAGGTCGACTCTGATTGGCTCACAACCATGGTGTGCGTGCGCATGTGTGTGTAAGTGTAAGAGTAAACACCTGTACTCATCGTGTGATCAGATTTACATGAAAAAACATAATTTCGACTGTGTGATCTGTTTTAAGATAACGGAACAAAATAAGCAGGGGCTCGTTCACAAATAAATGAAAATTCGGAAGAATTCCGTAAATTCAAGAAGAAGTGACCATGTGATGAGCTAAGCCAATTAACCGTACGGTTAAATTGTTTCTTTGGAAGACTTTAGACGCGTGAATGCCCTAGCATGCGAAATGTTGGCAAAGTAGTTAATACAGAAAACTCAAATTGGTCTCATTTAAGGTTGGAAGTACCAGGGACGAGTCTTGTGATGCAACTTTTCAATTAATTTTGCCCTAATTATGACTAGTATGCATGTAAATGCAGACTGAAATAGCGTGATGTTTTAAGGTAGAGTTTGTGAACGTAGTAATTATCAGCTCTGGATGATTCTGCAAAGGTGAAAATGCTTAAAATATTTTGAATAGTTTACACGATACTTCCAATGAAATCAGTCCTACTTAACTCACTAAACAGTACTTTGGAATGTGTAGCCGAAATAAAATTTTAGGACAATTTCACGGAGAATTCATTTTAGAGTATGAGGCCTAACAGAATCGTTTTGAATACCATGTCAAGTTTTTTGATGAGGTAGGATAGGTCTTTACCAAGCGTATGGACTAAGTGCTTTTCCTACTTAAGTTCAATTAAAGCCGATCTTAACGTAGATATTCATATGTCACTTTCAGACATTTAAACTGCTCATATTCGACAAATTCCAGATCCACACCAGAAAGAAATCCGAAATCTGGACTTTCTCAAAGACGGAAGACAAGTAGGAACTCGCGAAGTTTGCGGTAGTAGATTTGAAAAATCCACGCTTCTTTATGGATCACAACACTGAGTAGTGTTAGATGCACACGAAGGCCTCAAAACTACGAGGGATAAACAATGGGAAAGGTGTGAACACCATAAAGTAGGTAGGTAAATTATTCGATTGTTCTTCCATAAATGGCAATTTTGGTGAAGTTAGACCAGTAGACAAAAACCTATCCAGTCACCACATGTTAATTTAATTATATTTGAGGTTTAACCTCTTTGAGAACTCTCGAGGCATTCGTGAAGAGACTGCCGATTCAGCTGCGATTCAAGTGAACTGAGGTTGCTAGTAGAACTCGGAGTAGAGCTACTCCTCAACGGTGCATCGAAATTCTTGAAAGAATATATTTACCTCGCCTATTCCAGGTTTGGTGAACTAGTTACCAGCTCAATGTGAGACCGCACAAACCGTCAGCAAAATTTTTCACACTTGGAACACTAGTGATTCAAGCCAATTTAATCGCTGGGTTTTTCCGCATTGTCCTATCAGCCTAAAAAGTTTTAGTTAATCATGTTGATTCACGTCTAGTCTAGTTGCAATCTTAGGCACACTGTCCTCCTTTTCAAGGCGTGCCCGTCAGCCATGCAGAGCCGCCTGCTCTTTCACCCCTCTGCACGTACCACCACCACCACCCGCTTTATCCAACTGGCAATTCAGACGTTTGTATTTTTACTAATGCATCCAGACTCTGTATCAGCCAACAAAAACACAGGATTCATGCACTACCTTTAAGAACAAACACACGACAACAGCACAACTAGGTTGAGCCATCGAGTAAAAGGTTGTCGCTCCCTCGTCTCACTTATTCCTCTGGTTCTTCGAGTTGTATTGTGTCGGAACAAGGTTATTACACAGACAGACGCTTAACTTTCTATTCTTGCAACTCAAAGGCAAGGCGGGCTGTGGAACAAGAGCAAACGATTTGTAAGCTTTGCCTGAATTCCAGCCATGTTGCTCAGAGCTGCGTTTTTATTCCCGCTATTTCATCATCGAAGAATGTGGAGGGCCCCATCACACATTACTTTATTATTTTCACGATGAGCTCGGTGTAATTCCAGAAGTTATGAACAGTCACGTGGTTAAGGGCGACAAATTTGTTGCAAATGTAACCATCGCGGTAGTTCCAGAAATCGTCAGGTGTGGCCACTGCAAAGCACGGACGCTGGCTTTGTTAGCTGAATGGCTCCAATTCAATTCAATTCATCCGTGAACACTTTCGTCGTGTCATAGAATGAAAGGAAACAATAAAGGCATTGACAAGCCGAATTTGAACATGGGAAGCTTGCTATACTCCAACGAAGTAGAATTTGACTTGGATTCGGATTGTATGAAGAGCACTGTTTTCACCAAGACAGCAAACAGTGACCGTTCATTCTTAAAAACCAATGAAATGAAAACGGCGGATTAGCATTGTCGTGGCACCCTTTAAATAAGGTCAATGTCTAGCCTCGAGACAATCTAAAAGCATGACTTTTGTTAGGTTTCTATGTACAGGAATCCCAGTGGGCTGAAAGCAACGTTTGTTGTAACCGCTAAATGGGGCCCATGTCAGTGGAGTCCAGAAAGAATAAAGGCATCTATAATTCAAGGATAGTTACAATAGAAAATTGTTTATGAAAATCTTGTCATCAAAACTCGATGGATAAGATCCCCAAAGCCGTGCCATTACAATTTCTTGACACCAGTCAGCTGATACCCAATGGCACTCAGAATTAGGATGATAGTTCACTAAGTGGACTTGCATGTAGTGGGAAACGAACTAAAGAATTCAGGGCTGTATTTTAATCTAAAATAGTCTTCGTCAGGGGAAGAGTGATGTGAATAATTAATGTTGTCTCGTTCATGAAGAATATAGCCAGCAATGTTTCCGAAAGAAATATTTTGCCAAGAAGTGCCCCAATAAATCAAATGGCTTGCCAACAATATTCATGGGCAAAATGAAAGACAGCCATCGAGCTAACTGCTATCAGACTAACCTCATGGTTAAAATCGAGTTAATGCTTCATTAAGTGCGGATTCCAATTAAGAGTTGCCACGTCCTGTGTACAAAGAAGTGTCTTTACCAAGCACCTTAAGATCCTTTATCCCTTCGAATTTTTCTGCTTTTGCATTTTATGTCTGCTGGGAACCCCTACTCTTGTCGCTAGTTTAACGTTTAGCATGATATGTTTCCACTATTTTACCGACTTATTAAGCTAACAGAATGAGTTTACAATTTCGAGTTATTTTTTTTCAATGTTGTACCGAGGTTACTGTAATTACCCCAGAAGCTGGCAAATGTCATCTCAAAGGCTTTGGCCCACAACTTACAATCGCAAATGAACTATCCACTACGACGTATGGCGTAAACTAGCTCATCTGAAATCCGGACCTAGGGGGACAGGTTCCCTTTACTCTTCCGTAATCTATCGCTAGTTCCCATTAACTAGTGCCGATTTCCTCTCTCGGTTCAGTCTCACGAGCGGCATGGGCCAGTGCAAGTTCATCAACAAAAAACTACCTGATTTGTACGAGAGGTCCCTGCTTCAATAAAGATGATTGAATTCCATTTGATGTTACTGGAAACAGGGGCTAGAGGACCTGCGGCAATTTCGGGGCCCTTAACAGTGCCACAGATCCTGCCCAGATATAAAGATTGCGTAGCTATTACTCCGAAATCCCAAAACTGAAAGGAAACGAAGCTCGTCTCGAAACCGATAATTCCGAAACAACTGTCTGTATTTATGCACAGCAAGAGCTTGAAGGTCCCTTGGAGCCAATGTCGTTTTTCTTCCAAAAAACCTCACCCGGCTGAAATTGCTGCAGCAGGTTCTTAAGAGAACCGTTGGCGATCTATCTTACTACGAAGGAATTCCGTTACGTGCTGAATGGACATTCGTCAAATAAATCCGCGAATAATACACAAACTTGTGTATCAATAAGGACAAACACTTTCCAGTTTCTAGTTTGTCAGAAACTGATAGACTGTGAAGAACTAAACACGGGTAAAAAACCAGATTCTGGAGGACGAATGAGGAGACACCCTGACTGATCTTAAGTCCCGTCTCTTCGAAAGTATAGCGGTCTTCAATTGAGTTTTAGAGTATTTACCTGAGACCTGGCGTTCCCGATTCGCAACCAAGCCATTTACTTTACTGTTGGGTGCGTTACTGTTTACCGGCGCACAGATGCAAGGCCCCGAAAACAATTAACCAAGCCCCTTGTCTAGCACGTCAGCGACTTCCCCCGCACGAGTACATAGACAACACTTATTGCAGGACATTTACTGTCACACACAAAGGCCCAGTATACATTCAGATTCGTCCACCCATCATACATGGCGTGAGCGGCCTTGAGTGCAAATCAGGGTAATTGTGCACCTGAAGGTGAATGAGCCGATAGAAATGGGACGGCCAACATGAATACGAAAATGGCGTGTGTGTGTGTATAGATAAATGGTTTTGAACAATGAAAAATTGAAAAAATCTTTATTCAAGGTCCCGTATCCTATAGACACTGTCCAAAGCAAACCTCCATAGTTGCAAAGTGGCATTGGGAGACCACAACGTAAAGAGTCGTGCATAAAAATAAGCTTCGTAAAATGCAGATGCCAAAAGCTGTAGGAAGTTAGCGGACGAATTCAACGCCTAAAGGGTTATGATGTAAGTAATCAAGCTTTTCACTTCAAAACGCCGGCTCCGAAATGCACGAGCTCACGAGAATGGCACCTTACGATTGCTGATGCAGCTGCAATTCAGAGCCATTAAGCACTTTACGTCCTCAATCTTGGTGAAACTGAAAAGAACTATTGGTGCAGTTGAAATTAGTTCAATATAATGTACATGACTACCAGCTCCTGTTATAATCACTCATGAATTTCAATATTAAAATAACCAACGTTCTGGTGCATTATAAAGGAACGCAACACTTGAACTAGAACCAAAATGTGTAACAGACCAGTACGTGGACAACAACATAGGTCCACTGAATCAGACTCAACCGGCATCGCTGTGGTTTGAACTACAACTATAAGAGTCACTGTCACCTTAAATGCAAGACCTAAATTGCTGTCCGAAAGGGGTGCTGCCAAAAAGCACGTTATATTAAGGAGCCATTATTTTCAGGTAAGCCATAAGTTTAAAAGGAAACGAAAAAAAAGACTGAACCTCAGCAGCCATTGCAGAATTTGGGATGAGCAGAACAGAGCGCATTATGACGCACAGGGAATTGTGCGCTGTTGACAACGCTCAGTGGGTGCAGTCAATGCGCAAATCAGTTTGCGGGGCACGATCCATCCGTTGAAAACAACATACCTGCCCATAAATGAGATCCTTTAGTGGACAAAGAGCGTTCACGAAAACCCAATTAACAAACTTGTGTAATAAGATGCACACTACAAGTCCGAATAGGGAAAGTTTGTGAAATAGTCGGAGAATGGCTGGTCTGGTGATATCTTCTGGATTTCCTCGATCGCACGAACAGACTAAGGACAAAAAAGCACTCAAAAACCAACATCTCCGCATACATACGGCAAACAGAATAAAATCGAATTTACCTCCTCTAAGTAACATACTCCAACGGGTGGGTTTTTCACATTAGGCCAACGTTTTACACAAGACTAAAAATAACGAAAAAGCCATTAAAATACTAAAATCGATTGCTTATTTTACCTTTAGTTGCCTGCCAAATGATAAATGTGTTTAGGCACTTAAATGATACCAAGACAGACTTGTAACAACAAAAGTATTGGTGATCTTTAGTTACGGACGTCCCAAGACTTCATTTTTACTGCTTTGACTACCAAAAACAACTCCAACGAAGTAATTGTTACGGAGTATAGCAAATATGCAGTTAAGGTAGTAACAAACGTTAACATTTCTTTAGTTTTTTAGTACCGAATGCCAGGAAATACCGCAGAAGAGGCATGATCGCCAAACAGAGGTCTTTAGTGTCCTGGTCGATGTGCACACAATTTGCTCAGATTGCTGTCAAGCTAGCCGAAATTGCATATAAAACAACCACCTTGATAGAGGAGGGTATAGGCCTCCAAATTGACTTAAGATGTCGTCGGAATTTGGTTCGTTATTTTAAAAAATACTCAGCATAACTTGCCCAAACAAAATTAGCTTGTGTTAAAATTTTTGAATATTGCCAGCAGATTACACGACGGATGATCAAAACGAATAACATGAAACACATGTCTGGATGCTTTGAAGCCACAGACTACCGTGATCCGTTTTAAAGTTGCTACCTTGTTTTAAGGTGACTGGAAATCAACAATTTTGGGGAAGGAGATATCTATTGCCACTTAGTGCATTGATATTTTTGGCCCTCGTTTTTTTTTCGTGTTGAATTTTGCGTTCACAAGAGGATCTTATTAAAAAACGTACCATAACTGGAAGGATGCGAGAAATTTGATTGCCAACAAAATGTGAATCTTCAGCAGGGAACAACGGAGTTTTATTATATTGTGCTGTCTTCTGTGATGGAGAACACGGGATAGCTTGTGTTTCTGCGATAACACTATGACTTGAGGATTGATTTCCACAACTTTCACCTGAAATAAGTGTCTCCTATTCATATCATTTTGAACGATTCACTAATGGAATGAAGATATTAGATAAAAACGACCACACTAACTTGGGTCTTATAGACGTGCACTGTTCTTCAATCTGAGTAATGAACAATCTTACGATTTACTTGAATTAGTCAATAATAAGCCCTCTTAACATGTAGCCATTCAAAACCCTATACAAACTGCATCTGTAATGAAGCTCGCTAATTCACGACCGCCACCATGGCCCACGCGTGACTCCCTGGTCGTCTTTACTCCAGATTCTAGGCTGAGCCATCCGACACCCTGACGCCCCCGCTTGGCTGTCTCAAGGCAATCCCTAGACTCCTGTGAACCATCTGCATAGGAACGGCTTCCTCTCTTGACTTATAAAAGGCGGGAACAAACGCGTTTCAAGATAACTAGCTTTTGCGACCCAACAAACGTTTGTCATCCTCTCACCGGTCTTCCATTTCTGCAATGGGTCGGTCAGGCCGCACTAGTCGCTTCGGTGCGGGTGCGACTCGCATATCAGGGTGTCTGTCTATCATTCAGAAGGCAAGTCTGTAATCAATTTAACAAAACACCCTGAAGTGCTTCAAATAGGCAATCCTTCTGAGCCATGCCGATGAACTCGAGCAGGACAAAACTGCATCCCACCTTTATTATTCACATTTTGTTTGTGTGAGGACTCTAAACGTCTACATCAGTCAACTTACTTGAAATGACCGCGATTCCTGTCGATTCAAGGCTCTGTGAAAGACCTTCTGGCTCGGGTTGAATACTAGGGATGCCAATGGAGGAAAGTGCTTCGTAATCGTCTGAGGCATCCTTAAAGATTTCCTCCTCCTCCTCCTCAAGCTGTGTGTTCAATGTCTCACCACTTGCATTCTGTGTAGGGATCCATGGGCTAGGATTGAAATTCTTGAACTGGTATCCCACATCATGTTCATTACTCGAATTCACTTGCTCGACGTGAGAAGTTGTTCTAGTCTAAAGTTGAATTGAAGTTAAAGCATAACACAGCGTTATGCACAACGCTCTTCAGTTATACTAACCCTCTAGTAGCAAACTACTGCTTTTTGCCATCGTTAATGATAGGAATTTAGCAGCAACAAGGTGGTCAGATAAAAAACAATGTTTAAGAGAATTTACGTTTGCAAGTAGTATCCGGCGACTGTTAATGTGAACAGCAAAACAAAATTAGATAACTAGTACTAGTTTAATTTCAACATCAGATTCATGGTAAAGTTAGGAGTCAGCATTAACACGCGCTATACTCAGTAGAAAAGGTATAACGCTATGCTTAAATTTAATGTTTTAGACCCGGATCTAGGGGTCCTAATAAATCCCATAGCAAAAAGCAGCTGGATCTCCTAAAGTAGCATTCAATCCATTGATGCGAAAAATTACTATGCCACAGGTCTTTTAAAAAAATGGATTGTTTTTCAATAGAAAGCAAGATTTGGGTTGCGAGTGAATATTTTGTACAGTTTAACTGAGTAAGTGACTGCCGTATAGGTACCAAGGAATTTTACTAGTGGTTAAATAAAACATAAATAGTCAATTTTAAAAGCCAAAATTACACCAGTTGACGAAGTACATGCAAACACTCCTGGGATGGCAGGGTTGGCGGTAGTGATTTCCCCGGTTGACTCACAATACTTGTCAGGATTCACAGAAACTTCACAGAGATTAAGTGCGTCGGCCACATTTGACCTGAGTTTAAAGTTTAAAATTGGCAATTAATAAAAAAGATGATGTTTATATGTATTTGAAAAAGAGCATTACGGAAAAGATGGTGGCGTGAGCAGTTCGTCCTTACGAGTCATTCTAAAATGAAGGCATAAAAATATAATCAAAACAGTGAAACTGATTTGATAGGCCTTAGTCAAACCAACCTAACATAGTGCTAACCACCTACATTCAGGCTCATTAGTCCAAACTGAGAGTAAATAGTGAGGGATGGGTGAGAAAGGATTCCGAAATCGAAAACGCCGTTTCAAATAAGTATCACACTGCTAAGGCAACCACAAAAATAAGAGCATATCAGAGGATAGCTGAAATTGCGGGATATTCTTTACGTATATTTATATCACAATTAAAAAAGCTTGGTAGAAAAAGGGAAAGCTTAGGTAATATAACTTGCATGTTCGGAATTGAACTAAAAGGTTCATCCAAGCAATGGGTCTCCCTGATAACAGAAATGTGCTTCGCAGAAGCGGTGAAACAGTTCTAGATAACTGGAATTTAACATGACATACCAGGGAGCAAGAGTACTGAATGATGTATTCATCCAGAAAAACAATAAAAAAACAAGTTTTTCTATTTCGAAACCTGTTTCTTCAAGAAAAAATTGTCTTGCTTATTCGATACTTACCCACAAACTAAAAGCTTCGATTCGTTTTGATCAATCGACAGGCTAATCCAAAACTGTCCATCGCACAATTTTATAGACTATAGGAAACAAAAATGAAGACTAAACGGTAGTACACACGTCATCAGTCTTGACTATAATCGCTTTTGGTTCACTAGGTTGCGACGCATAGGACTGTTCGAAAACCGACAATCTGCAGCAAAAATAAATAAAAGGCTTGACATCTGCGATTTCACGGACAACTTCCGGAGCACGAAGTCCAACAACCCATGGCCGAATCGGTAGGATACGTTTGCGCCAACGTTTACGAGGGGGCATTCCTCCGGGTGAATCCACAGGCTAAAAACACTAGAACGGGTATATTATGGGAGTTCAGCGTGGATGTGAAGCAAATGATCATGGTCGGGCAGTCAAGTATGATTGGCCTATTCATAGCTCTTTACTACCGACATCAGTTATAAAATGAATATGTGGAACGCCAGATCTGTTAATGTTTATCGAGTTCAAAATAAGAAGTCAAACAACGAAAAGAAGTGGGCAGGAGAACTGTTGACAACGGATACAAATAGGTAGAAGAGCTGAATGGGAATACTTGAGGATTTGTTAATGTGGCAACTAAATTCGCGGGGGTGAAACATGCGATGAGCAAGCAAAAAGTCCGCGAACCAATTTACTGACCCACCAGCGCAACGAATGATGAGGGTAATAAGAAATGGAGAAACAAGGTTGGATTTATTTCAAAAGAAATTTAAGCTAGTTTTCGTGGGGAAACATTAAAGTAACCTGGTAAATATGCAGAAAAAAATTAACAATTTGACGCATCAATGTAGTCTACGGCAGTAGCAAGGGTGAAAAATTGTACGCCTAATGAGTCAAAATTGTCAATCTTCGTAAAATTTTACGTAGTCATTAAAGTGAAGTTGTAAACTCGATACCTACTACAACCATGTCAACTCACATGACTTCGAAATAGCGGAGAAATACCTCATTTAATGTTATCGGAGGCTTTAAAGTGAATTAAAACTAATGAAGCATGTGTGACTTAAATATGAATTTTTTAGACATTACAACATAGAAATTGCGGTAGACCCATTTTTAAGCATAAAAAGCTGCATAATGTTCTACATACAGCAAATAATTTCAGCAGAAGGCGAATCAAAAAAAAGGTAAAAGAACATTAAAATTATCTGCGTTGGTATATCTAAATGCGTATGGAGTGTTGTTAATTTATTGTGAAACAATGTTGTTTTTCATTACGGATTAACTGGAGTTGATAACAAAAGTGTCGTTTGGACATATTCTGTCTGGTGAGACAGCACAGAATGGATAATACTCTGGTCTGGATTCATCAAAAATCGCTTATAAGAAGGACTCAACCCTGAGTATTCAGAAAATTTAAAAGTCAAATTGACTCCTCCATAACAACAAGACCGCCCACTGTATAATAATATTTGCACTTTTTAAACGAATAGATAAGATGATACCTTTCTAACGTTTGACGGAATTCATTCAAGGCCATTTACTGCATAAGATTTTCGATGTGTTCATTAATCCAGGATTACACTCGATTTGAATGCTTTAGTACAAAAGAAAAGTGTAAATTTACCTATATAATAACTAATGCTAAAAATGGGTTCAAAAACTTAGTAAAAATAAATTTTTCTCTTCCATTAATAAACACTATATCACTTGTTAAACTCGCAAATGTGAAGAAAACCAGAGACCTAGTATGAAAAAACTGGTGCAGCAGACATGGCTCTATTGTCCAATCACAAACCAGAACCACAATTCAGACGCGAAACATCTGAGTCTGTAGAATACCCAAGCCCCAGTGTAACGCGCCCGGGCATGATAAGAGAGCAAAGGGACAGTTATACGGGTATATTAGTACAAAGTACAACGTGAGTCTCTAATCTCAGTGTTAAAGGTTCATTGTTGACAAGGGGTTTGCCTATATACTTGGTCCGGGTTGCTCATGTACAGCTATTGGCTCCGGCTTCGCTTTTAGAAGTAGAAAGACAATCTCGTGAAGTGATTGGCTACTCGTGCTTTGGCGTTCCATTTAAAAATCTTAAATGAACCTCTAAACCGGAAATCATGTGATGCCGCCCCCACGGCGCGCCACCGCTTCTCGACCAATGGCTGGACGCCAAGATGGCGTCCTTCTGCCCCCTATGCTACTGTAGAATACCCAAGCCCTAATAGGAAAAAGACCGCTACAACAGAACAGGCTTTATTGACCAATCAGAAGCCAGAACCACACGTCAGGCGTCTTCCATCCGAGTCCACCACACCGGCCACGCCGCTAATTATATACTGCTCCTCGACCATGTCCTTTTCTGGTTGGCTGCTTATCTTCCTCGCATGCCATTGGAACGCAGAGGGACACAGGATTGGCTGCGGCCAGGTTGTCCAACATGTCTGCGCCCCGATCCGTCGCCACACTACACTGCCCCTCCTCAAGAGAGTAGCTGCCCCCAAAGTCTCATCAACCTCTACAGCAGCTGTTTCAAAGGTGTTGTCAACTGGGGTGGATCGCAGCACACAAGGGCTCTTCCTGATATTCCTCCACTGGTCGATAGGGTTTCAGCTTGCTAAAATAACGTGAAATCGCGACTGGGGGAATCGCATGTGGCCTCGCTTAGCACAGAGTCAACTGCATACGGACCTTCCCAAGCTTATTGCAACTTTCCACCTACTCCCGCGGTAGTAGGTCTGGCTAAACAGGACCGGTCACCTTCTTCAACTGGCGCACAATACGCCCCTGTCATTGTAATCTTTGAACCGTTTATGAGCCAGAACTAATTGTGATCGGGCTGACCCGAATGAATGGCGAAGCTGCTGTCGCATATCAGCAACATACTCGGAAGAGCATCTGTATTCGCCGTCTCGGGGTCGGGGTGACATAACATCAGCTGGCGACCGTAACTGATGCCCAAAAGTCATTTCAGATGGGGTAAAGCCAATATGTCTACGCCCTCAGATGTCGCCATACTACATTTGTAGAATACCCGAGCCTTAGATTGGAGAAGACTGGTTCAGGAGAACACGCTTTATTGACCAATCAGAAGCCAGAACCACACGTCAGGCGGCCTCCTTCCGTGTCCAAAACGCTGGCCACGCCGATCCTTATATACTACACCTCATCTTCCTCACATGACATTGGAACGCAGGAAGACACAGGATTGGCTGAGGCCAGCCTGGTCCAATATGTCTGCGCCCTGATCTGTCGCCGCTATAGAGTACCCGAGCCCTAATAGGAAAAAGACCGGTACAACAGACCAGGCTTTATTGACCAATCAGACTACCCGAGCCCTAATAGGAAAAAGACCAATACAACAGAACAGGCTTTATTGACCAATCACGAGCCAGACATAGACGCCAGGCGCCTTCCATCCGAGTCCACCGCGCTGACCCCGCCGCTCATTATATACTGCACCTCATCCATGTTCTTCTCTGGTTGGCTGCCTTCTTTTCCCGCATGCCATTGGATCGCAGAGAGACACGGGATTGGCTGAGGCCACGTAGTCCAACATATCTGCGCCCTGACCCGACGCCACACTGCCTCCCCTTTGGAGTGAAGCTGTCCTCAGCTTCTGGCTTGGTCCACCGCACTGTTGTTGATTTCCAGTGTTAATTAAATATCCAGTTCGACACTCCCCGCACCCCACCTCTGCCAGGATAGTGGCCCATGCGAATAGTTGACGAGGGACTTTGCTCTTGTAGACTTGCAGGAAAGACTCACCATCCATTGAAGGTCCTTCGCAGATGCAGTCCAGCTCGCTTCCACTGTCCAAGTCGTCGTCGCTGAGTTGCCAATGCCTCTTCAGATGCAGTAATCCTAATCCCGGGCAATGTCTATGGATCCAGTGTATTGGACATCGGATGAACGCCATGACAAATTAAGCTGGCATTTAAGGATCTTTGCCTTTGTTTACCACTGAAGAGAAAGGGCTGGGGTTCGATTTGCGTTATTCAAACGCATCCGCTGCCACCAGTGTAGAATACCCGAGCCCTAATAGGAAAAAGACCGGTACAACAGAACAGGCTTTATTGACCAATCACGAGCCAGACATAGACGCCAGGCGCCTTCCATCCGAGTCCACCGCGCTGGCCCCGCCGCTCATTATATACTGCATCTCATCCATGCCCTTCTCTGGTTGGCTGCCTTTCTTTCCCGCATGCCATTGGATCGCAGAGAGACACGGGATTGACTGAGGCCACGTGGTCCAACATGTCTGCGCCCTAATCCGACGCCACACCACAACACCACACTACAGCTACACAACACACACAGGACGGCACTGCAAGGGTAGTGATTTTTTGTTTTATTGTAGATTTAAAAATCAATACTAACCACGATGCCCTTTTTGCTCCTTGCTGTTAGGTGGCATTCGATTACATGATTTACGCTCTCTGTGAACTTAAGTGATTCTTTCATATTCTTGTAGTCTTATCGCACCCGGTTTTCGCAGTTTTTTTCCACTGAATTGTTTTCCGCACACAACGTCGTTTGTTATCTGTCAGTGATAGTTCGGCGTGCTTTCTGAATGTTACAATGCTATTAATAGTTTTTTATTTACTATAATTTTCTTTGTCTTTTCCGATGAAAATAAAGTAGCTAATGCTGTGAAGTCATTGAGCAACCCTATTATTATTTTAGATAGGCGTTTCATACATTTTGGAAGGTCACTAGAACATGACATTCACCAACCCAAAACGAAAGGCTGCTTATACTTTGACCTCCGTCGGCATTCCAATTGCCGATAATGATTCGAACGTCGGTCAGAAAATGCTCAAAAAAATGGGCTGGATTCCTGAAACTGGTCTTGGAAAGGATAGGAATGGTATTGTTGATCCCATAAAGGTACCATTCTGATTTTTGAATATTTGCTTGTAGGCTACTTGTAATTATGGGCGAAAAGGCTTGGGCAGGGGTCCGACACAGTCATCTACAGATATGGTTCAGCAATCCGCTTATAATGCATTATTGCAGTCTCTAAGCAAACATAAATCACACGTTATTCCAGAAGTTAAGATTAAACTTGAAGAAAAGTCCAAGAGTAGCCGTTCCAGGGTCCACTACGGAAGGCTTATTCGAGCAAAGGATGTATCACAGTACGCCCAAGAATCCCTTAAGATTGTTCTGGGTGCGTCACAAGATAGGAGCCCTCAATCTTCTCCCGATCGAGGTAAATCGTACTCCGATCAAGAAGACTCAATAAGACATGAATTTGGTGTAAAGACATACTCGAGCAATACTGACTTGCATAGTTATTTTTCGATGAAAAGAAAAGCAATGAAGTACTCGCCTAAAGAAAGGTCCCCAAAAATAATGCGTGAGCATTCACCCATTTCGAAAAGTGTAGAAGATGTTTCGTCGCTTTCTGCTACCTCCTGTTCAAATGATAGCCCTAAAGGTAAGAGGACTTGTCAAACTTTATTGCCCTCTTTAAATTCGAACTTGAATCTGCGGTTTTTGAAACAGAACCATTTCACATTAGATGCACATTATCAGTCATACTGCCTAACATGTACTAGCTTACATTGCAGACATGAAGATGTCCCAGAAAACGGATCTTCTAGTCAAAGTAAAAACAGAACCACCTGAAGGTAAGTGGGAATAACTTGTTGATGCTTCTGGATGTTCTGATTGTAGTCATTTATATTGTTGAATGCTCAATCGACGTAGAATTCAGGAAAGTCTGACTCGGTTTTGTTTGGACTATTAGTCTGCCATTGGTTTATCCGTCGTCATAAATGCTGGCTAAAAAATCACATTTTTACATTTGATACTCTCTTTTCGAAAGATATGTATTAAGAACATGCCTCCAGTTGAGTGTAGTAAAATGTATTGTTTAGTTCAATAGGTTAAAATCAAATGACATATTCTACCAGACGTTACTATTATTAAAGACTGAAACCTGTAAAAATCGTTTGCAACCAGAGAACCTCGCGATTCCCAGGTAACTCACCAATAACCCTATTTCCTTATCTTTATTCCCTTGGCTTGGCATCATCACCGTATATCTCCAGGATTTCCACAGGAGTAAAACAGACGCCTCTAAAGACCTTTAAAAGCACTGCAGTTTTAATCGGCACTATTGATGACTTTGAGGGTAGAACCTAACAGTTAACGAAAACCTGGCGATTCTCGTGATATAACATTTAAAGCCCTTCTTATTGGAGATCCCTTCATTTTCCTTTTGAGCAGGGGCTCGGTCTTTGTCTAACTCAACAAATTATAAATGGTGCGTTCGACCCACTTGCCTAGCTATTCTTAGGCTACATCAAACCCGTTTTGCGGGTTACTAGGCTTTCATGCACTTTACTCGTCTTTTTTCAGGAGCTATTGTTAATGACCCCGAGTCAAACTTTAATGATGACGATAAGTCGGGCTCCTCTTTACATGAAACGGAACGCTCACTGAGAGGGCCCGAAACAAGCAATGTCCATGGCCCCACTTTTGGATCAAGCACCGCCTTCGCATCATCAAATCTTCATTCACTTGCTGGGTACCCATTTTACTGAACAATATAGATTTGCATTGCACGCGTTGACCTGTTTGTTATTACGTTAAAGGCAGTTTTGCCGAATGAAGAAAATACATACTGCACGGATCCGCGTAGTTCGGGATATCTACTGGATCAAAACTGTAACAACGAACGTTAGTACATCGGTGAGGTTAAGTTTATATATAAAATGCGTAACTGTCATTGCTACAAAATTCGACCAGAAAACTTGTCAGAAATGAGATAAAGGTTCCATTCTGTGTTTGCGCACGTGATAATAGAACGCCTTGGTGTGCAGACCTGAGAGGCTAACGAACATCCAAAGTGAAACGATACTCCTGATCGCAGCCCATGTAGGCATCCGACATAAAGAAGAGGGTGTACTCGTGTCTGCCTCCACTCTGTGACGATGGGACAGTCAACTCGAGTCGGACCTTTGTTGACTTGGCTAGAGTTAAGCGTTTAATTGCCAGAAGGCTGTTGGTCTTGACTTCACCAACAACTAACCACCAACCTTCCTCGCGTTTCTACAACCGAAAAATGCACAAATCATTAGTTCAAATCATGAATGAAGATCTCGACCAAAATTTACAACTCCCAGAATAAATGACTAAATCCACTTAGCGGGACATGAAAAGGAAGCCAACTTACCTGTGGAAAGAATGGGGAAAGTACGGGTCCTGCGTTGGCTTCATCACGTTCAATATTCACGTTCACGCTTATCGTATCACCGCTAAAAATAGTGAGAGAATATGCGGAAGGAGCCTGTTGAATGCTAATTTTGCTAATTGCCCATGTCTGGGCTTGAAATACCTTAAGTAATGTTCTGGACAATTACCCAACTAATACTAAAATGTTTGCCGCAACGTGGAACTGAATTAAAGTTTGAAACAATCTTTAGTTGAAAAGCGCGGTTTCAATTGTTATCATGACTTAGGAAATTTAATTAACGGCTTTAATTCACATCGTATTGGAAGTCAAGAAACACCAATGTAAATATTTGGGTGGCAAAAACGATAATGATCCAATAGAATAAAGACCGTACCTTCTGACCTGCGTTTTACTAGAAATTAGTCCATTGGGTCCAGTTAGGTCATAAGTGACTTCGACATCGGGATACCGATTGCAAAAGCGAGCAACATCAGCAACTTCGGCTTGTGAGAGGCCTTCCAGTAGCTGGGCCCTAGCATTATCTTCAAGTTCCATCAGATCAAAGATCGATTCAACTCCCGCAGTCTGACATTTAGAGATTCGATCTGCATTGAAGTGAGGCAACTGCCTAAGGTAGGAGTCCTTGTGCCACACAGCCTGCGTAATCATTTGGGAGAATTCCATGGCTGCAAGAGCGGGGCCTAGCCAACTGTTACTCGACAACACGTCCACACAGGCCTAGCAAAAGAGGAAATTACTAGACAACCTAGACAGCACAGATCTTTGGTGGTAGCATGTTATATAAAAAATAAATGTAAAAGTTAATAGAATCGCTTACCACAAGCTGGTCTTGAATATTTAAGACAAAGGAATTTAAAAAAGAGTCTAGGTAGTCATGAACCGAGAGTCTGAACCTATAAATGGCTATTAAAAGGGACTCAGGATGCACCCGTCAATTCGTGCAGGTACTATAAAAAGTGGGAAATAGATAATATAGAGCGTTCTCAACAGTAAGTAGGTTAGAGAAATGCAAAAACGAGGAACTAAAGCGAATAAAGCAGGAAGAACCTAGATCCCATTGGTTCTTCGCCCTTAAATCAAGCACGATAGGTTGCAATGCCTAAATCACCTGTATAAGACGTATGGTGCACACAAGCAGCCTGTCCGTGTCTCCCTGTAGCTCTGTGGACAAAGTGATTCGCGACAGGTGAGCCTGAAGTAGGAGATTTGCTTTCACGTGGGAGCTGGTGTAACTGGCCTTGGCAGCAAGTTTTTGGGGCACCTTACCAGCCAATTGGCGCAGCACGGTATCTTCATGATGTCGGACTGGCAGAAGAGTGTCGAACTCGGAGGCGTTACTTATAACATCCAGTAGGCCACGAATTTTCATCTTGTTAGTCAGCGACAGGCTAAACAACTCTGTACGGAGAAAAAACATGGCAAGCGACACTGAATCTGAGACTACACTAACAAAATCATCGATTCCAATTTCCAGTAGACGACCTCTACCAGCCTGGGTACTTGCTTCGGTTTCGGCTTATTTTGATTTTGTTAAACAATGTTACCATTTTCACTCAAAAAAGCAACTTGATTTTGCCTCTACAAATAATTACAAATAATATATTTTAAGACGTCTTTACGATTGTTACCCAGATTCAGATCAGTGTGGAGTCACGAAACTACAATTTGATCGCATTTTGCATAACGTGTGGCGGATCACAATGGAAATAGCAAAGACACATTATCACTTAACCCAAGATAGGTAGGTGCAGCGACTAATAACAAAAACGACCCGAAACATTCAGAAGAAGTACATGGCTTGACCATGCTGTACACGATTTGATGAACATACCACCTCATGTAAATGGTTCGACCCGAATAAGGGGTAACCCCTCGCTACGTTAATAGCGAATGAGACATCGCGAGTCATATGTTCAGTTAGCGGGTCAATCACTTCAGGTATGCGAAAGATAAATTGTACCCCAAAAGTAATAACAATGCGGAATCATTTTGCTTGCAAGGACGAATCACACAAGGGCCTGACCCTACACCAAAGTGAACAGTACCGGCGAGGCCGAGGCTCTCTGTGAGTGTGCATTAAATAAGGAATAAATGTCAAGTCAAAAAAAGAATCAGCCTACCGATAGTACTGTGGAAGATATAATAGTAGGCCGCAATCATGCCCAGGTTGAGTGGGGAAAGGTCCATTTCGTCATCAATAGAAATACATTTGGATTGTTCCAGGTCCGTCAAAGTGGTTTCCACCAATTCACTCAGGTGATCACTGAGGTGACGGTGGGTAACACCCTAAAACATTGAGAATGCAATTAAAGCCAGGGACTTCGACGATCAAAGCACGTGTTAAGCGGTTTTGCTCAATTTTTAATCGATCCGTTTTGGCTTCATCGATTTTCAAGTCGAATATACAACAGGAAATGACAATAGCCCCATGGAAAGGTCATCTGGAAATCAAGTTGTGGCAACGCATCTCTTAAACGGATCCCTTGGCATTCCTCAGTCACACCGACAAACTGCTGCAACCTCAAAGAAACGTGCCAATCGGAACGCTTCAAATTGAGGGCACAGCTTGAGAAGGCTAGACGACACTCTTAAGTCGCTTTTACTCGTCTACGCTACACTCACGTCTTTGTTTTCGGGAACGCACATGGGCTGGTGGACTGTTCATTCACGTTTTACAGACAATTCGCCTTCAAAATTTTCTGCTACAATGTTTCTCAATTTCCTGTACCTAACTGGGTTGCCACTATTGAATGTCTAGCACCAATGTGCGGTTGAATATTGGATTGCTTAGTAATACGCTAGAATCAAAACTGAGGAATACTGATGTATGTATCTGAGGCTTCTTTACAATCAGCTCAACTTACTCGTGACTTAACTAAACCTACAAAATTGCAATGACACACAGTAAGGATGACTGAATTAAATAGTCTAATCTAGCTAGCAGGAAGCTTAAATAGTGAAATCGGTCTACCAACCCAGGAAATAGAAAATGTAATCCGATAATGTTCACATGCCAAATTAAATTACTTAAACAACGAAAGCCCACACTAACTTGTAGGTTGTAGTAATTCGGGTTTTGTGTCATTCTTTGGTAAAGGAAGGTCCAGGTCAGGTAATCCACCGCATCTTGCTTATTTTCAATAGTTTTGGTTACAATTTCCGCATTGAAGTGGTCGTGCAACTCATGGTCTAGATGCGATTCAACAGGTAGTGGATCATGCAAGAACTTTCTTAGGTACTCTTTTTTGCCAGTTTGGCAAAAGATAATTGCTTTAGCATCGCTGTCTAGCCCGGGCCGGTTCGCACGACCGACCATTTGAATCAAATCCACAATCGGATAGTCCTCATAGGCATGAATTTTGCCATTGTAGTCCTGCGTATCAAGCACGATAACCAAATAGGCTGAAATTGAGGACGTCCACGCGAGGTCACGTGAGACAACTAGAGTGTGGAGTGCCCCGGCTGAAAATAACGCCTCCACAAGACGTCTATCGCTTTTATTCAAAGCCTTATGTAGGTAAGCCACACCTCCACCATATCGCAGTATTTCTGAAACGGCACTGTCAGAAATCTGTCCAGCCGCCTTTTCCAGTGCCTCCTCAAGGTGACCCGAAAGAGGAACGAACTTTGGCTGCTGATGTTGAGTGGCTCCAATTGCGTTTGCGGTTGCCTGCATTGTGATCAAATCAAGCGCAGTTCTTTGAGCCTGCCTTCGAGACGCCACATAAACAATTGTTGGCCTGTGAAGACCTGGACCACTGCCGGTAGTCAGACAAGCATAGCGATTTATGGCACGAAACATAGGTCGGTTGGCTGCAAGAAGACGACTAGCTTGATGGTTGAAATTGAGCTCCACAATTGAGAGGTCTAGAGGAAGAGGACGTGTATTGGGCTGGAAGTTGTAACTAGAACCAGAGGAGCAACCAAGCCAGCTGGCCATATCACGAAGGCTAGTAACGCTATGGGCCAGACCAACTATACGCAGGGGCTGGCCACTGGACTCAATCTGACTCGCCATATAACGCATGCGAGAGCACACTACCTCATACACGGGACCCGCCTCCGCTCCGATGAGATGAAGCTCATCGGCGATAAATAGGTTTACACTCTGCACGTGTTTTCTTTGCTTCCATCGACGAGAAAGCACATCCCAGTGATCCGGAGTAGTCACAATAATTTGTCCGCGAGCAAGAAGTTTCAAATCGGCGGCAGTTTCACCCGTGAGGCGGACCACGCGACGACCAAGTTTATTACCGAAACGAGCAGACCAGTCAGCGTAGCGTTGTTCCACCAGTTCCTCATGAGGCGTGACGTACACACACTTGAAAATAGGCTCGCCCGATTCGTCGACTTGTTGATTCGCGATTGCCGTAGTCATTAGACGGAAGAGAGCCAACTCTGCACAAACTGTCTTTCCACTTCCAGTAGGAGCGGCAATGAAGACGTTTTCGTCAGAGTTGTAGAGTGAATTAAATACCTGTAAAGAACAAATGATTAGTGTAAACCAGCCCATCAACTCACCTAATTCTTTCAACCACTGGGTTTAAACTAACTAACGTAAGGGATCACCTCTAATATATGACATGAAAACTACAGAGTCAAGTCACTTAATGTTCTTCGAGATGAATCCAAAAAGATCGAACCAGCCACTTCGGATAGCGCCACTCACTAAATGCATCTATTACGCAACATCTTAGAGCGTTGATGCACATTGTCAACATGTCCAACCAGACAAACTACGCCCCCTAACGAAAGAAATGCCTACGTTTTCACTGACACTCGGTAAGACCACAAGGCACTCGTGGTGGACGGTATTGTTCTCGACGAGGCAACACGACTAATATGCCTGACACGAGCTTACAAGGGGCTAACCAAGTAGTCCCGTGTCATTAAGTGGATAGGTTTAGGGACCTAGTTGCACAATCCAAAACTTTATCAAAAGATTATCCCCACTTTGTCAGATGGCTATGAATTTACGTGGATCCCCAAAAAACTTGTTTCCTGGCTAAATTATTCACGAGATGATACCTGACAAAGTCTTAGGATGATTTACCCATCCTCTAAGAATATTTCGCAAGGATCAATACAGGTAGTACTTAATGGGACAGCTTTTATTGATAGATCTAAGTATAATTTGTAGGAGCTCCAAAATTGACCCTAGGTCTTGTGAGTAGATGTACAAGTAGGAATGCCACGAACCGCCATTAAGCCAACAAAAATTTTGCTTTGCAGAATAACGCAGTAGCCTGTGTCATTGTCTTTTAAGGAGTAAAACATGCTATTTAGGATAATTAGTTTAAACAGGCCCATGTTTTTTTTCTTCTATTTGAAGTTGTGCGACACACCCAAAATTCCAGTTGACTCGAAGGCACAAGACTGTCCGAATTAGATATGTCTAGTTACCTGAGCATTTTTGATGTAGATAGTAAAAGCTATGAGCTTATAAGCAAATAAAGCCTACCTGTGTTTGAATAGGATTGAAATCTCGGATTTGATCTGTGTACAGAGCCTCGAATTCCTTATTTCGCAATGCAGTGATAGGTAGAGGTTGCAGGTCCAGCAATTCAGTTGGAGGGGCTGTCTTTTCAGGCAGAATAAGGTGTCTAAACGAAACTGGCAGAGTAACCTCGCCACCAATCCACCTATCAGACACTGCGCGTATGTAGTAATGCGGTGGCAATGGGTCGAATATGGGTACGGTAAAATGTAGAACATGCTCCTCTGTTGCGTATTGCTGTTTTAGCAAAAAGAATTCACGATGGAGAATCATATCACCATCCACGTCTTCCACAAAAATCCAAAAAGCTTGCATATTACCATGAGTCTTCTCTTCCCAGACGAAATCAGGGGTAAGGGCGAGCTCTACGCGAAGGACTGATCTAGTTACAGGCTGTACGTGGACACTCATCTCGAGACGGGGAAGCTGATGCAGGTACTTGTGCAGCGGTTTGCCCAACTTAGCAGAACGAACTAACTCGCCCAGTTCGTGGTGATTCATGTCGTAGAGACGCTCAAAAGGAATTGCCTTCTTCTCCAATTTCGTGATTATCTCGTCAGGTAGTTTTTTGAACTGCCGCAATGGACACATGGACTCCCACATTCGTCGTTCTATCATTTTCGCAAGGACAAGAGCATTATCGGCCAACTCCGCCCAGCCCTTATGAAGAACAATTTCGAAGAGTGCTCGCATCAGTCGACCTGCTGACTGTACGATGAAGACCATATCAGAAACTAGTGAAAATCCCCCCAATTTAAGACCAGAGATGTAGGCTTGGAGGAGGCAATTAACCTTGGCAGATGGATCATCCGCGGCTTCCTTAATCGGAATAGGAACACGCTCAAGTAGTTGAGCCAGCTCGAATTTCTCTTCTTGCCGCACGTTGATGTGCTTAAACTCAGAACTAGCGGCAAATACGCGGAAGAGTTCGATTTCGCCAAGACCAGGACGAAGGAGTTTGTTGTACGACTGTATGGTTTCGTGGGTGAGATAAAAATGCGAAGCAATGCGGCCAAGTTCTGTAGACTCAAATGCACCAGTTCGTCGTTCATAAGCAATGAGGCCACAGCGTTCAAGGGTAAGTGCAGCAGTGTGAATAAGATCACGCCGACGTTGTTCCAACCAAGGGTCGGTGTGTTCACTCCCTGGAGGGACACCATAGAGAGAAGGAGCTCTTAACATTCGGATATAAAGATAAGTATACCCGAGCCAGCTGACAGCATCCCGCACATTCGAGACGGTTCCTAGAACAATTTCGGCATTCAAAAGATCGGGGAGACGTGAAACGAATTGGCTCTCGATGGGCAACTGCTGATTCATGAGCGAGAGGTAGTACTGAAGTTCTGTGTGATTTGTAATGAGGATACCCTCACCCTTGGTGTCATACTGAGGACGACCAGCACGACCTAACATTTGCATCACGTCGAGTGGACCCAGTTCTGTCCATTTACCCTTTTCTGGATTATACACCTAAGTACAGTAAACATTAAACAATATTGGAGTAAATCAAAGGGAAAGTGTCAAAAGCGTGAAAGTACCCACAAAACTCCATGTGGGCAAGATAAATAGCACCTTTGCACACTGATATGACGTTCGACACAATCGCGAAAAATCGGAAAAGTACTGAGCTTGTGTGGAAAATATCTGATGCATAGACCACGGGAAAACAAAAGGAGTTTCGGGGAAGTGCGTTTTTTGCACAGGGTAAATAACTAGGCACAATAAATCTGATGTACTTGAAGAACACCATTCCTCAAACCTAAATTGTGCAAGGTTCCTCTAGAAGGCAGTGCATTAATTTTTAAGTCACTTAAGTTAGTAGGTCAAATTGCCTATAAGTAATGAAGACACATGTCATGGTGACATACTCCGTTATGTGTCAATTATTTGATGCAGAAATTTAGTAAATAGTTTGACTTTCTTTGATTACCATTTTCCTGGTTTTACATTCCTTTTTACTCTCTGTGCTCATGTTAGAATATAAAAATAATGTTGCAACCGTAAATAGCTGGAATAATGTTTATTGTGTACTTTTTATGACTCCCGGTTAGCAAAGACGCTAAGCGGATGTAAACCTAATGCCCAAGCGACTTGATTAACCATCGAATCCAGAAGTCCTGCCTGGGGATATATTTGTAGAATTTCCCTCTTTACACTTTTCCTTGTGGTCTGATCCATGAATTTATAGATTAAGCCGTCCACCCAAATAAGCACCAGTTCAGTTACCTTTTTCTTCCACACACCTTTGGCTTGCCTACCTTACACCAAAAACTAATTGACCAACTTTAAGATTTGACTGCCATGACTGTCACCTTCAATTTGCTTCGACATTGTGTAAATAAGCATGTATTCAAATGAATCAGATGAAGTGGGTCTTGCTAATAGCTCGTGGGGAAGGGACAACGCCCGTTAACATCCTACAGGATGCCCTGTTTTTGGCAACGCATGGCAGTAATTGAGGCTCTTCCAAATCGAGATTCACCGTCCAAGATGCCCAAGTGTCGCAAGTTGCGAACAGCAAGCTCTGTCCTGATCGCAGTACGATGCAACTGCCTCGAGCCTCCACGCTTAGAATCTAGTACGCCGTTTGTGACTGGGACAGCCGTGTGCATTTTAAACTACCGAACTGGGACTTAATCGGTGAGTGGAAAGGACGCTTCGGTGTCAATGCGAAAAGGCCGTTTCCGATGTTATGGTGAGGTGCGACATTTGTTCAAGGCGTCTTGAATAGCCTAGAAGGAAAAAAGTCTTCCCAGTACCATATCGACAGAATGATGTCTCGCAGAATGTGCTTTTTGAAACCTTTCGGTGGCCTAGATTTCCGGTAATACCGAAAGAAGATCCGGACTGAGGTCAACTAGCAGTGGACCGTCCACCACCCCAAGAAGATGTAGTCGTACAAAACGATAACGAACACTACTTCAGGTTGATCCAAGGAAGAAGCGCTATTACTTTTATAAGATAGAAGTGTTGGGATTTTATATCCACCAAAACTAAATTTTTAAACTTTTTGCAATTTTATATTTTTTAAATTATCGGCCATGTCTATCCACGTCAACTTTTATGTTACTATCAGCCGTCCATTTTTGAGTGTACTCCATTTACTTGCGCTCAAGGCTACCCAAGCCATATGTATGGGAGCACATGTGAACATTAACTCGGCCTTTGGCCTAGACAATAAAAGCTCTCTCAAAGGGTCATATCTTTTTTAGTTTGGGGAGACGTTGACGGGCTAAACAGGAGAATATAACCAAATGCGTTTGAATCTACGCATCTGTGCATCTGTAAGCCTCAACAAACCTAAAGCCAAAGTCGATCGGCCCAGCTAACACATCTTACAGATCACTGGCAAACCTTTAGGATAATGCCTCGGGGGGGGGGCAAAAGTTCATGGCCATTTTGGTCAATTATCGTCCTGTTCGCCTGCAGCTGGATATAACCCTCGTCCCAGAAAAACTCAGGAGCTCTCTTGATCAGCCTCCAGTCGGGTCCAACACCAAAAGAGCCATCAGTATGAGCAAGAGAGCGTGTCACCGCTGAATAGAATTAAAAGCAGCGTTCCCTTCCGCATCGGAGCATTACACACCTAGTGGAGCGTTACCACCACGAGGTTGGAGCTCTTGGGTGTTAATTGATCTTGAAAACCGGATTTAGCCAAAATTCTACATTGACTGAGCTGAACTATAGATATCTTACATAAAAAATATAAAGGTGTAAGAACAGATCCAGAATTAAGCAACATTAAATCCTTATGCTACATAAAACACTAATTCGAATACTTAAGGGTATGAGTGAGCGGAATGGTAGCAAACAGGGTATTCATGTCCACAATTTGGCTTTAAAAATATTTTAAGTCAAGTCTTATTTATGTTCATCAATGATTGCAACCTGGGTCCATTTTCAGACTTGTCATATTCGAAGAATTTGCGTGCGATTCATAAATACGTACTCTTCCTTGATTAATCTCGTATACGTACACTTACCCAGCCACCTTCTACCAAAGCTAAAATCCTGTCCGGTAGTGTCGAAACGCCCCTTTTGAAAGTCAGTAATTAGTAAACTCTCTGATTTAGGCTTAGCGAAATCCCATGTTGTGAACGCGTTAATTCACACTCGCTAATCCGAGCACTCCAGCCTCCGACACAGGGTCCCCTTTTCGAGGCATGTGACCCCGACGTGGTAAAGGTTCTCCAAATTCCGCAACACCTAGTTCCGTTGAGCAAGGAGGAAGAGTATTATAATTTGTAAGAGGGAAGAAAACAGGATTCTCTAGGTTTATGAGAGAAGGAATGTCGCGATCCATGGCTCCTTTTAATAACACTTTATCCAATCATTCTGACTGTGGAGAATTTGCGGCATGACAAAACAATCACTGCGCGATCAGCGGTTCAATAATCCTTTAGCGTTTTAGCAATAGGTTCTACTGGTAAATTATTTTGAACAGAGAATCCTTCTGTGTTTGACCATTCTTACGCTAAAGCTACTTGTGTATTTCTTAAGGGACCTGAATAGTACAATTCATCGGTCACATCGACCAATAACATTCACCACTTAGCTCCTTAAGTAATTTTGAATGTAATTTTGTTTTAGGACATTTATTTTAAAAAGGGCACCAAGAATAAAATTCAGGTCAGTCAAATGTTCCAATATCGTGACTTTCGTTTTATCGCAGATGTTGGTATATACTCAAGTGTTATTATAAATACGATTGCATTGCTTAGAGCGGAAACCAATTACACACAAGTAACTACAATGTAAGTATCAATTAAAGTTTGCATTTTTTTAATCTTAGTCACACAGACAAAAAGAAACGGAATAAGCCTTTTAGTAAACCTATTTCATAAAAGAACTACCAGTAGGTCAGTCAAAAACCACTGCTGTCTTTCATAGAAAAAAAGTTGCTAGAGTAAAAGTTGTAACTCAGTGAGGTACAGTTACAGTTAATTATGAAAATTAAACGGGAATTTCCTCATTCCTTCGTTTGACGTCTTTAAACGCACTTGAACTTGAGACTTTAAAAGAAATGTTACTGCTCAAATAAAATCCAATTGACCAATCCAAATAGACCCCCCACTGTGCACTGAGTGGGCACTCCCAATCGGGAGTAAGCTTCACTCCTCTCCTACTAATCGGACACATGCAGTAGAAATTCCACCTTCTTACACGTTAATGGATTGTGCTTTTAACTAAGGTAATTAAAGTCCTTGGAGAATTGCAGAACACGAATCTAGAGGGATGTGCATTAATGGGTCTGAATGGAAAGATTGACTTAGTTGTGGCTGAGTCTACTAAAATAAATCGTTTATGTAACTCGCATGACGATTCTGCCTTTGGTTAATCTTAGTTGGGACTTTTTGATAACACAGTGTGAAGAGCCGATTGATATATTTACGAAGCATGTTTATAAAACGCAGTGTTTGTGGAGATCTGATCTGTCAAATGGCCTTCATTACGGTCAAGCTTTTATACCTTCCATTTTATAGGTTAGGTCCTAAACTCTGTAGCCGACTATATTATTCCTAGAATTTTTGCGGGAAACCCTGTAAAAGGGGAACACCGATGAGTAACGAGTGTGGCCAAAAATATTGATGCAAATCCACAAAAAGTCATGTGCTGCCGTGATTTTTCAATAACGGCCTGATCTTAGCTAAATATGGCACGATAAATCGGAAGCACAAGTTATGTGTAAACTTTGTGAAATTGGTGTGAAGCGGAAATATGTTCAAAATTCACTCAGTTACCTTCAAGAAACCTAGTTTAGATCATCATCATCAGGTTTCAAGTGGGCAGTTGAACAGGAATTAATCGTAGGACACACGCACAAACACACGCACACACTCGATAAAGCCTGCCTGACTACCTACCACAGTGCATAAAATCGTGAAAAAAAAACGTGCAACATTTTGTAAAACAATTAGTTTCTTTATGGTTCATGCTAACTGGTACCACGGTAGGACCTAACGGGATCATAAAGTTTGCTAAGCAATTGTCTTGCAAATAATCAAAATTCACTAATTCGTCAAGCTTAAATATAAAGTGCTCTGTTGTGGCTAGATTCGCCACTACCCTACAACCCTCTAATTAATAGATCACGACAACACCAGAAGAGTGGAAAAAAAGCGAGAGCGGACACAACTGGCTTATTGGTGTCCACCAGCCAAGTGGCTTTGTGTGTGTTGAGTACACGTACGTAACAGACGGATGCTGACAAAGGCCAACAGCAAAAGGGGTGAGTCATTGGTCCACTCGGGCCCTAGTGCACGCACACTCACGCGAGGTAGCTGTCAGTCCACCACAGCGCCTTAAATTCAGTCAAATCGAGTAAAATGAATATTACGAAGCAGAAAACCCATCAAGCGGTTTGTATCCATATGACTGTAAGGCCATTAGATTATGCACGACAACTAAACAGTAAAGCATTCAGTATTTCGCTGTTTGCAGTTTTCAGCAATCAGAATGTTCAATTTTTGAGAAAGTTAAGGGTTTCAGAAAAAAAAACTCGGAGACAAAAGGAGCTGATGATAATTATTCCAAGTGATTTAACAGGACAGCATTTACCCGAAGAATCACCTAAGTTTGTGGTAATAGTTTCGGGGAATGGCGCAAAATCTAGGGCATCCATTATTTTATTTAGGATTGTTCATCTACAAACATTTTCTGCGTATGCTTTTGCGTTGGTAAATAGCGTTTCAGTAATTTGTTTGCTTATTATAATTTGAGATGAATATGTCAAATTATGGTGTTTTATAAAATGCATTGGACTAACTATGCCGGCAAAGCATCTTTGAATTCAGTTAATTTCGGCAGATCTAAAGTGAACTAGGAGGCAATAAACCAAAAATTTTAGCTTTCGTTTAAGCCGTCAAAAAATAGGAAGTAATTTTAAATTTTATTTCCCGCTAGGCACTGATTTCTGTGATTGGAAGCATCGAGAACAATAGCTTGGAAACAGCAAAATTGAGCGGGACGTCAAAACGTGCATACGTTATACTCAGGACAAAGTAGAAGTAAATTAAAGCAAGAAATTGGTTTAAAAGAGCAATATATGGAAATGGTACAACGCTCACTGGATCAACAGCTTCGAAATAGCGTTCAAGGAGCAGACTAAAATAGTAAGGCAACGAAGGTAGACTAGAATAGCATGGCACATGCTACGGCATTCGTTTCAGAAATTGTATTATTCGGAAAAGACGTTAGATATCATTACTTGTTCAAAACTTTTGGAAGCAGAATTGATAAGGTTAAAGACAAACGAGTAGCCCAAGTTGATGGATGACGGATGCCAAAAAGATCTACTTAGTTTGATCCATGCCAAACGACTTAAGGACTGCTGTAACCAACCCCAAAGCAACTCCAGACCCGTACACATCAGCTTGGCTACACAGGTCTTCCTTCACATCTAACGCTCAGCTTCTACCCGGCCTCATTAGAACGCTATCATTATAGATCAGTGTACCACCTTTTGAGGTAAAAATATAAAGCGTTGATGAGGTCAGACCTTGAGTGTATTTCGAACGCACCAACTTCCTTAAGAGTAATGTTAATTAAATTCGTGATGGATGCCTTAAAAATAAACCAATTAATGAATAAGACAAACTGCTTTAAGGTCGTAAAGGCAGACTTTAATAATTATTATGAGCGAAATCACAATAGAAAATATGCACACCTAATGTTGACAATGTAACACAAGATTCATGTCTTGAGAAAATCCGTCAATATTCAACGCAGATGTGTTCCAGTTTTGGAGTTTCTTGATGTTTTGCACCAAATTGAAGGGAGTGATTATGGGCATTCGAGAAATCTTTAGTGATGGAATGTTTGAATAGATTAAGGTGAAAATCAAAGCGATTCCTCACAATTGACAATAAAGGTGTTGGCCCTGAATCGCAGTTGTTATTGATTGCGGTTTACCATTGGTGTACTTTGAGATCAAATTAACAAACTCTACAGTTTCATAATGTTTAGTCAACAGACTTTTTTATAAATCCTTCTAACCCATGACCTCGTTATGAGTTAAGGATTCGACTACAAATGGTAGGTAAATTTATATTTATCAATAATTTAGATGCTATCACGAACACCATTAGTTTACACCAAAGGGAAAGCATAGATGATTTTTCAGTGTTTACGAAAAGAACAAGCTATCCATATTAACTTTAGATAGTAAGAAATAACTATTTGGGATGGGTAGACTGTTCAGCATTCGAGTATATTCAGCCATTCGATGGTTTCCGAACTGTCGTGGGCTTGAAGATGTGAGCGTTGGCAGAAATCCGCAAGCAATCTGTCGCTTCCATTTATTGCGTCGGTTCTGGAACCACACTTTGACTTGCATCTCCGTAAGGTGTAGAGTCCGCGCCAACGACATGCGATCAGCACTGGAAAGGTAGCGCTTTGCCTCAAATGCTGATTCGAGTCGATGCACTTGAGTTCGAGAGAAAACTGTTCGGCTCTTCTTACGAGCAGGGACCAACAGTGCATGGTTTGTTAATGAATCAGGCGTTTCCGGTTCTTGGATAGCTAAAAAGTATTTTTTTTGTGAACACTCGGGTGCAAAGGCCTTTAAACAGTGGAGATCACTACTTTTAAGAATATTGTCATGGGCAAAATGAGACAAACTTCCTAAACAAAGATAAGTATGGTGAAACGCACAGTGCTGGTTCGTTCCGTGCCTGACTGGCTTGCAAACAGATGGCAGTGAACCCAATGACCGATAAGTCAAATGCTTTCTTGTGAATAGGGTAGCACGAACAAGAAGCGTTGCCTAGAAAATCGATTCAGCTCGAAGGGCAAAAGCCTGCCACTGGTGGAAAAATTCGAAAGTAGAATAAGCGGAAAATTAATTGTGAAATTGCAGTGCTCAATGCAACCGCTACGTCACTAATGAAAACAACTGTATGTCGGAAACCCCTGACTTGGAATATTGAGGCGTGTGAACCATCTGAAGCAATAAGCTTTTGCATATGCATATGCCACGTCTTCAAAGCACGGTAGATTAAAAACCAAATACAAGCAAAATCTGCGAACCTGTCAGATATTGTTTGCAATAAGCTTGATGTAATTGGAGCTTGGTACCGGGGTTCATGGCGGTGTCTCCCGTCACCGAATGCAAAGTCTTTTCGTCAGTTTCATCATTCATTTTCTGGACATTATTCATTATTGTGTTAAAAATCTCGAAACAATCAGGTTGTATAAATTTTTGAGATGCTACAACGGTTTTTATCGAAACGCCACTGGATTGGAAATGAAGGATTGGGCGGTTGGTGTCCACATCGCAGGCTATTTCTAAAAAAATAAAGAGCTTCACATTAACTCGTGTTACTGCAACAATGAAAAGTGTAAATTGGGTTCCTGAACAATTAATTAATTGCATGGTGCGCCAGAACGTAGTAGGAGGTTCTGTGGTTTGTTTAAATTCGTGCTCATTCGGAAAATGTTAAAATTTTCCACAGCCCATGAGCTTGACAAAAATCTTAACTACTGACACGCCTGTTGGGTTTAAGTGAATGACACCATACCTTTAACCTTTCACATGACTTTTACAAATAGTCTTCCGAATACATCATTTACAGTTCGAGTTCATGTCATTAAGACGTCCATGCTTTATCACACCTAAAAGATTCTCCATGATATAGTCCGCAACATTTCGTTTAGTTAAACATTACGAGTGAAACCATTTAAATTCCTGTTCAAGTTAACTTGTGCTGATTGTTTAGTAAAACACTTTCACAAAATGCAATAATGCCAATTAAAAACATGCCTATGGTTAGACATTTTTGGTGTCAGCGTCACTTTAGTGGATTTTGATGCGACGATTATTAATTCTTCGTTATCAAAGCAGTGGATTGGTTGCTACTAAATAAGTCATTTGCGTCGAGAAAACCTGAATTACAATGTACATCGAAATGCCCAGGATTTTTGAAACTCAAGTCTTTTGTGCTAACAAACTAAGGCGGAATTTAGACAATGATGACCAAATTAATAACTTTATGGACTCAAAAATTCATGTGAAAGCCATTTAACGTGTCACTTTCCGCCTCAATTCAACAGTGAGTTCAGAAATCTACCATAAATGGCAAGTTCTACTTCACTGTTTTCGCCATCCTGGAAATAAGTTTAATTGTCGTCATAGAACGGAATGCTACCCAAAAGTTGGAAGATTTTAAGAACATCTACAAATACCCAATAAATACTTCGTGGTAATAAGCAGTTAATCAGTCTTCAGTTCTGTTTTTTGCCGTGCTTTAATTTAGCTGACTATAGGGCCAACTGTCTTAAGTAGTTTAATTGTTTATTTGGCGAAAAACATTGATACTGCGACAGTCTCTTATGGTCATAAATTTAAAAATCTCGATTTTAACTCAGTTCTTGACTCTAATTGCCAATTACGAACAGACGAATGGGATGTAACAATAAAGGAACTGGGCAATGCCAGTGTCTCACGCCTCAAAATCCAGCAGGTCTATAAGGGTGGTACATAAGAGTGTAAGCGCTTGTCGGAAATTTAGGTTTTTTTATTATAGATGCTGGAGAAAATAAGGTATGGCATTTTTTGATCATCTGCACTGTGAAGTTAAGCGTCTGAGTTTCACTCTGAACGCACTTTCGAGTTATCCTCTAAACTAGTTAAATTGCCGTCCTTGATTCCCAGCCACTGCCGCCGTCTGCTTCAGATAACTTTGTCATTATTTACCTGTCAAACTGGGACCCTCTGTGAACGTAGACAGTGTACAAATTGATTAGAGCTCGGCTTAAAAGCTTGGCAAAATAGGTAAGTAGACTACTCAATATGGCGACTAAATGTGGTGAAATTGGTATTCTGACTCACTGCTCTATATCATCAATACCCCATTTTCTAAGTAGATTGGTTAAAATCATCGGGGTCTTTCAATGCTTAAGAGGCTAGTAAACATACTTTGAGAATTAATGGAATTCCTTTCTTGGCTCTCCCTGGTGGCGAGAATATCGTTTATTGTAAAGGCCGATCGCGCCCGTGGTTTATTCGCTTCCATTAGGCATCAAGTGGGGGAAATTCCCCTCCAATCTTGCGCAGTCACCGCGTTAGTGCGCGCGAGACGTCCTGATTTGGCCGGTCCGTCCGTGCGACGAAACTCAGAGCGGGATCGCGGCGTTAAATTTTTTCACCAATCAACATTCACGCAGGGGAGTCAGGACAATTGGTGGGATATGAACGAAACCACGGAATAAAATGAATCCTATATTTTAATTTTGACACTCGGAGTGGCTCAGTGAAAGTGACAGCTTCACTGGAGGCAGGTTCATCACAGTTTTAGCTTGTGAATATGCCAGTGGTCTTCCAAACAAATTTCCTATACCGCACATTTACAAAGTTAGCTATCGACGCAATTCATCACGTACAGAAGGCAGTGAATAATGAGTCAATTATTGGCAATTGTGGTGCTAAAGTAGATGAAAATTGTCGTTTGATGCCAATTGTTCCAACCGCTCTTTACCCTCCTGCAGGAACATAGCCTTCAACTCCATTTAGGAGATAAAACATGAAATTTGTAGCACTAAAGAAGCACATCAAATAGACCTCTGTTCGACCATCAAGTGATTTCAAGCTGATCATTTTGAATATCGTTAGATGAATTAAAGCCGCGCAGATACTCAGACACCACGATTGAACAATACTCCAAAAAATCACCAAAATACTAAGGAGATTAAGTGGCTCACAAAACGCCAGCAATAGCGGTCTGCACATACAAGGTAGGCTAATCCTGTGGCATAAACTTGCAGGTATTCGCATGTCATTCGTTGGTACCCGGTGGAATGGTGAGCGGATCTTCAAACATTGCCTGTCATTCGTTATGCTTCTCTACGATTATTCCAGCAAGTGCGTTATAAATCACTCGATGTAAGATTTTACAAATTAGGCACTTTGTGTTTGGTAAATTTCTACAACACAAACAGATAACAACCCAGAGCGGTGGAATACCGCCTGAAAGCTTTAGTCCGAGCACGTAATGAAGCAGAAATCCCCAACCCATTTTAGGGTTGCAAAGATGACAGCTAAGCTGCAAAGCACCCTACGCAAAACTGCTACTCGATTTGTCGCTGCAAAGAACTTCGGTAAATTAATTCAGGCCCCAATGATCAAAAAAGCAACTTTCGAATTGATGATAACTTGTACCCGGAAAGCACCCGCTACCACTCACAATGCCTACCGCTGTCAGCATACCTCCGGGAGACTTAAAATTGAAAACACATCCCTCTTGTCAATATTCTACAAAGATTCAACGGCTCGCACCTCAACTTCGCCTTTTGGAGTCCAGTTGTGTTTCACGAATCCTAAATTAGCTACGAAAACCAGATGAAGCGCAGTTCGTGGGCCAAAATCACTGCACAGCAGTCTCAGAACACCTTCAAATACATTCACTCACCAACGTTGATGAAATAGACCGTATAATAAAGGCCGACCATTTTATCAAAACGTACTATAATGACCCAGCTATTTCCATAAATAAGGGGTCAAACCAAGAGTTCTTAAAAATGACACGAACACATCGCCACTTTTCAAAAGGCCATAAATCAGCAAGTGATAGTGTCACGCCCTCCATTCATAGTCTTAACAGCTTTGCGGAAAAAAAACGTAATACTTCAAACAGAAACTTTAGTACTTAAGTAGATCGACTTAGACTTGACGAAAAAGACGGACCCACCAGAATAATATTTACAACAATCCAATTTTTTAACCACAATGGTAGCTATTTCGAAAGAGAGTAAGGGAGGCGTGACGTAAGTTCGGCGGGTAGGTGACGAAAGTGGATCCCACTGAGGGGGTCTATTCACATCATCCACCACCGAAAAACAATTAAAAAGGGGCTCAAGAGATTTTCTTCCTATACATGTACAGAGATATGGTACACTCTTGTAGTGGCCGCAGAGAATCGACATAAAACGAAACACCCCAATGGGGGAAGATAAAAGATGGACACACAGGTATATGGCTGTACATGCTAACAAGAGTGGTTTAGGAAGTGAGATAAATATTGTGGGAATACAAAGACATATCTGTGTGTAATGTATTTATATGTATAAAAGGAGTAAAGGGACGCAGATTGTACGATAAGCATCAAGTAGTCAGTGGAGTTAGTTAAGGTATTTTCTGCAACCGATGCGCCCACAATTGCACACTAACTTTTCAGCCTCCTTTGGAAACCGGTAATCATAAGTTAGCTCTTCGCCAGGGAGAATTCTAAAGTGAGAAAGACGGAAATAAAAATGTTCCGGGTAACGAAGTAAGTTAACTTCAGCAAAAGAACTAACCTGCGTTTGGCGATAATAACAATATGGTTTGAGTCGCCCATACTGACAACCTTGGCATCACAATTAGGCTGAAGTAAAAAAAAAATAAACACGTTCGGTGTTGAATTCTACTTATGAAAGAACAACAAAAAGTGGGGATTCTTCAGCGCAATTTCCAAGAATGCTTTACTTGATGGCTATGAAATGAAACGCTCACCGCTCGAAACCTGAAACATAGACCTCTAATTGTAGGAAAAAAATTAAAGGGCACTGAAAGCTGGCACACAAAATATCTTTATCGAAGTAATCATTTTGTATCCACGGAGTGATAAATTTGGGTTCTATTTGCTCGATAGACAAGCGTTGTGACACTGAGCCAACTTACTTGGCAGGAATGGTTGATGAATCGTGCATAATTGCCCGCGCAGGTGGCATCAATGACCCAGTCGTTGTCGATTCTAAACATGTAGCAATCGATGCCACTGGCTTGGTACTTCGCCTCACGCCGTTCGCAGATGATGCTGCGAATCAACTCGCCGGTGTATTCGCAAATCAGCTCATCGGGGCGGAAGGAGCGCAGAGCAAAGAGGCCGCGCTTGTGGATAGGCGAAGGATGCACCGATACGCGGGAAAGACGGGCCTCCAAACTAGAAACCAGGTTCTTCAACTGGTAGGTAAGCTACAGAGGTGGAAATTAAAGTTTGTAAAAAATGCCAGACTGGGATGAAAAACATTGAAATTTTATGCAAACGAGCAAATCTAACATACGGACAACTGATTACGACCACGCCCAGAAGCTGCCGCATCCTCCGCTTCCTCCACCGCATCCGCGGTAGCTTCAGCAACGGCTGCCTCAACAGTGCGTGCATGTAGCCTAGGAGGGAGTTTAAGAGAATTCGCGACAATAAATGCTGCTTGACGGGCTGCATTTAAGCATCCTTCCGTTCTGTCTCCATTATTTCCGCAGCCGGGGCCAACAGCGTCTCCTGGGTCCAGGCAAACGTCATAGGGTAGACAAGAATGCGGTGCGTAGTTGGCGCGACAGTGGAGGAAAGCTAGTGGGTCTCGCGCGTGACTTTTTGAAGGCGGCGCCTTGGAACACGGCATCAAGCGCGCCGCACCTTCGAGGACGGGCACTGGTGGTTTGTACTGTTTTAGTAAACAGACAATTAAAATAGTTATTTTCGACGAGAATGCTCCACACTTACAAGGAGTGGGCTCACATACGTGTTTAATGTATGCTGCATTGTTCCGTGTCAATGCGTTGCAGATTACAAAGAATGTTACAACGCTTCACGGTGTATTAAAAAAACTAAATTACCGATGAATATGCACTATGGAAGGCGGGTGAACAATCGCAAAAGCGATCACTTTTACAAGATGTACTCATTGAGCGATGCAATAAAGAGCACAAAGTTAAGCAGCCAGAAGTAGGATATAATGCTAACGTTTTATTAAGGTACCGCCTACTGAGATGACCGTGCAGCTGAAGGTGAATTACTTGGAGTAACTTACCGACTCCCTAAGCCGATTAATCCGATGTTGATGATATCGGAATCGGTAACGGTAACAGTTAAAGGCTCCCGGGAGTTGCTCCAAAAGGAAAACAACATGTCGGTGATTTAATCCGAACTGCGACCACCCATCAATGTCTAGGGGGTTGAATAAAAAAGTAATACGTCAGTTGGGAATTAAGGGTTTTCAGTGACAGTTGCGAATTGGAAATAACAGCCAGGAGGAAATTCATGCTTACCCTGAACGATCATTTGGGGGAGTTTTTGGTCAGTGCGGAGTTTAATTACTCTGTCAACAACTTCACGCCAAGCTGCTGCTGGGGTATACGTAGCCTTCCCAATTGTGTCTACTGAGAACTGAAGTCGAAATGAGTCGGCCTACAAAAAGAGTGAAGCACACCAGAATAAAAAAAATGTATGGTTACTGAGTTGCAAAAGTGTTTGCCAACTCTCCTACGTACAAAACTGGTCGCTTCTTTTTGGTACATGCGATCAGTCAAGGTTTGTTTGGCCTTTAGGACACGTTCATTAAGTTCAAGGCGATTTTCACGCTCAAGCATCCACTTCTTTTTCGCCGAAGTCACTTTCTGCATAAAGCAGCCCCTGCCGCTGACAGCGCTTTCACGGAAGGCGGGGTGACGATTAGAGGGCAGGAAGCCCTCCATGTCCTCCATGTCATTGATTCCGTCAAGCTGACTAAGTTGGGGAATACGAATGGGCTGTTGCTGCGACACGGGGGCCTGTGTTGGGTTAGCGATTTTCGGTAGGCTCGACGAGGCCTGCTTGGTGGAAAGTGCATGAACGCAAGATATTTAAAAAAAATGCCAATTTTCATCTGCTAAAGAAAGTCATTACCAACAACCACTAAAACCCCTTAGATCAAGTAAGGCATTAATATCAACAATTCGACAGTGAATAAATCCTCAACGAAAGGGACTCAATAAGTTCAGCGCTGTTGTTGTACAACCCTCAGTCCTAAGGAGCTGCACACATTTGACAGTTTTCAGAACATTCTTTTGTATTCTAGGATACTTTAATCCCAAACAAAGTGCAGAAAAATCTCCCTACGGATTAACTACAAAAAGCCATGTCCAGTTGGAAGTTTACGGCTTGTAATGGAGTACAGCAACTGATGGTGGTATAACAGACAACCACAAAGACCTGTAAGCAAATGGTTCTATGAACGTAATTATCACCTTCATTCCTTCTTAAAAACACTCCTGAGTTTAAGTACACTTCCGCATACTCGAACACAAAATAGTAAACTCACAATAATGGTGAGTTTTTCAGGTGACTTGAGGCTGAAATAAAAAAAACACAAGTCATAGCGTAAAATATTGATAAGGGACATTTTTGTAATCGAATATCATCAAGCAAATTCGAATTTAACAGCTCTATTAAGTCGAGTATTTTGAAATTGGCATTCTAACAAATTGGCTGAAATCAGAACAAGACAAGCCTTTAACTTTATTATTAAAGAATCATAGATATCAGTACCTGCTAAAAATGCCATCTAATTGCGAGGCTAGATGGGACTCATCGACATTAGTGACAGGGTATTTTCCACTGGCACCAGTTGAAGTCACCGTTGCTGGTGTCGACACTGAAGCAACGCGAACAGTTCGGGGAAACGAGTAAACTGACGATGTAGTCCCTCCGACAGATGAGGTCGCAAAGACACGATCGAGGCGATGAATAACCACAGGCTGAGAGATTGAACCCAGGTGTGATTTGGTTTGTTGAGGAGGTGGAGTGCTTGGGGCCACAATCACATTGGCAGCCGGAACGCAGCGCACGAGGGTAGAGCCTCGTTTGACGTCAACTACATGAATGTCGGAGAGTAAAATAAAGGCAGGCTAACGTGGTGCTGGGGTCCGCTGAACCCGAGGAAGAGTTGACTGGGACCTTCTCAAATGCCTGGTTACGGGGCCCATTATAAGCAACCGTGTTAATTCATCACAAATGCGGAATGTACACTTACCAGTGGTTGGCTGAATCATGGTGGTGTGAATTGAAGCTCGATTCTCAGGTACTTGAATGGAGGGTGGCTTTACCACGTTGACGTGAGTAATTAAGCTATTTTGACTCGCAGAAGAGATGGAATATACAGTAATTGGGTTTGGAAGGGAAACCGCAACAGCTCCAGATGACGTACTTGATTTCGGAACAGAGACTGTTAGAGAGGAATAATGAATAAATGATAGTACCTCAATAACCATTGCAAATCGTAACCGGAAAAAAATAGACTAAACCAGCAATAAACAAAAGGTCCCGCATTACTATTGCAACAGTACAAGCGTGGTACTCGAGTCCAAGGTACAGAGCATGATTTTTAGTTAGTTTTGTCCCGGTGAGAAACAGCAGGCAATACTAGTGGGTTGATCCGCTTGAAGATTACCTTGCTAAGTAATCATTGACCTACCAGTAATATTTTGGTGCCAGCGGTTGAAGTTCGTGACGCCCATACCGAGGGTATACTGACAGTCAAATTGTAAAATCGAGAGAGGAACATTCCAAATCCTTCTTAGCACTTGAAAAGCTACTACTTCTAAATACATACGAAGTACTCAAGCTCCAGGCAGGGGGTGCTGTTTATAAGGTCGTCGGCACATAAAATTGGGTCTTTGCAAATGCACACGTAAAAACTTGGAAAGGAGTACGGAGGGAGTTCCACTAGTCGAAAACACAAATAGGTCGCTTTCTTGAAACTCGATAGCAAAGGCATACAATTGTATGGCGCTCACTAAAAAATGTATTCAATGCTCCATTTACCACTACATGTGACTGTGATAAATCTTGAAATGACCCTTGATCCCTAGTAACACGGCCTATAAATTTGCACAACTAATGTGATGGTGCACTGGTCAAATTCGGCATTTATTATAAGTCCGGCAAAAGGCAAAGCACCAGCTTCCACGGCATTTGGTTATACGGGAATGACTTACCAGCACTGACAATACGTGGAGTTGTGTTCTTGTGGGGAGACAAAATGGTTGCAAACTTCGGTGGGGACGGAGCAGAGGACGTTGCCGTGATAATGAGGGGCTGGGAATGTGATGAGGCGCCTTTCTGTGTACTAGCGCTGCTACAACTAATAGTCATCTTTTGAGTTGATGGGGGCGGTGGCGAGGTCGTAAGTGACTGACTGATTTCAGATCTTGAATTTGTCGCTGAGGGCTGAAGCGAGCCGGCTGGAGGCTTCTGGGTGAATCGACTCGGTGGCACCCCTTGTCTAAAAGTGTGTGGAGTCAAAAAATAGACAATCAATTACCAAACAACTACAGTACACTTTAAACCTTTTGTTAAGCCCAAAATTGAGAAGTAACACGGTAAAGCTACACAAAACACGATTTTGGCGTGCTAGAACACCTGGTAGCAATTGACATATTAAACTAGATTTCTAAGAATAATATTCTACAAGACGGAGTCCTAAAAACACAATCACATTTAACCAACCAAACAACTGATTTTGCCTCCAACGTCGAAGTCGAGGCAGAAGCTGGGATTCATCCGTTGCCCCACCAACTTTTTTATTGCATGGTGAAGCTGTGTTTTTTTGAACCCGGTATCATAGGCGTGAATTTCTGCAGCAGATCCATGAAACTACTAATCACTAAATTGTGCAGTTTACATCGACCAGGAGGCAATGAATTCTTAAATTTGAGCTAATCCGGAGCAAAGGCAGTAAGGATTAAAAAAATTCTATCAACCAACTATTAGTGGCCAATTCACTGTTGCCTTATTTTGAAGTCAGTTTAACCTAAGTACTAAACGACTTACGGAAAGGTAAAACGGATTGAGGGGAGACCGATGGGGTTGTTGGGGTGAGGATCAAACGCCGTAGCTGAATTTCGTGAACTACAAGGAGTAGGAATGATTGAACCAGGTAGTGAGGTTGAAGTGGCGGACGCAGCAACCGGAATTTCTAACGTATTCGGCATGGGTTGAGTTGGATGCAGGGTCTTTGAGTGTTCGTAGGCGCAATTCTTCAATGAAAAGTTTGGAAGGCACCTTTTGTCCTTGTGAGAATTTGATAAATTCGGCATGGACTCCAAATGGGGCAATGAAATCGCAGGTGGCTTGTGAACTTGGCTAACATTCAACGTATACGTTGTACGAGAGCCCAAACTGTGAACACTCCAGTAGATACGCCGGGCACTAAAATTAACAGGACATTTTGAAATCATTTCTAAGTGTCAATGAGAAGAGATAGTAACTAGACATACTATTCGTGTTGGCATACGAATTTATCTGCATTGGTGCCAAATAGGTGCAACAAAATGAGATCAAATCAAACGATGCGACACTATTCAGAATTTGGCATTATTCGTCATCGATACAAACTAGGCGTTTTCAATTCGTTGCGTCGCTATTTTGTTACTTTAGATACCACGATTAATGAACCTTAAATAAAACCCATACCGATATCCAATAGGGCAGATGTATCCAGGATTATCACGATCGTTTTTCCTAACAAGAGAGTCCGAGGCCTCGGCAATGTGACCAAGTCGGTCGATGCGGAGGGCACCGATGGTGACAACAAAGGATGAGGCAGGCACTTCGTTCTGGATCAGTGCAACTGTGCTGGGTGAAATTGCTAGGGAAAGAACCGGCTGTTGTTCGTCGGTAGTCTCATATTGCCCACCAATACCGCCTCTGAGGGACGCGACAAAACAATCAGAGGGGACAAACACACGACGACAGACGAGCATGTCATTCAGTGTTATTCTCTGTTGGATTGAAAAAAAATTCCTGAGCACATTTAACAGAGCCATTTGATTTTCACAGAATCACAGCTCCACTTCGTTACACAGAGAAGCTAGTGCAAAGAATGTAGCAATCGACAATAACGCTAAGACAGGTTGTTTCAAACAAGCACACAGAATGAAATGGGAATGAAAAGTGAGGTTTTGATAGAAAAGAATTAACTTAAATTACGCACCTCCAGGTCGGAATCGATCTGTCTAGCGATATCCTGGGCTTCATTAACCGAAATCACTTTGGAATCGATTAAGGAAAATACATCCCGATCATCGCGTTTATCTTCAACGCCCTGTTCTGTTTCTTCATCAACGTAGAATCTGTGGTGCCTACGCAAGTTAAGGTTGCGAATAGCCTCCGCGAAACGAATGCGCCTCACCGTGGAGTGGCACGTGGGTGAGCAGAAGAAAGACCGATCCGCAGTGAAAACAGGCTGAGGAAAAGTTGGGCGACGGCGCCGCAGGGCACAAGTGAAGTGCACCACTGAACGACAACCACCGACGGAGTTCGAACACGTCATCGTGGCACCTAGGTTTCCGCAGTCCTCGCAACGAGTACGTCCGCCACGACGCAAAGCGGCAGAAACACCAGCCAACTGACCTGATTCCTCTTCGTACACCTCATTACTCCACAGAGCGCAGTTGACGTGGATCTGTGTGGTAAGAAGGGGGCAATGGCTGACATTCGACAAATAATTTTGCCCACGGCGGTCAAGAACGTAATAATATTTATAAAATTTTTACCCAGACATCAGATCCAATGTATATCAATCGTCCCTCGATGCTGTCATCAGTGTTTCGGGTACAAAGTAGGCACTTCCTTGGTTCTTCAATGGAACCCGAAAGGAGGCGCTTCTCTTCTTGAATAATAGTTGCAAGTGGGAGAGCCTTAATGCCACTCTCTTCGGCAGTCTCTGGCTCGCTCTCATCAAGGTCGACGGGGGGCGGTGAGGTGACGGGAAGCATGAGATCAGCGTACTCCCGTTCAAGGGATTCCCAGTAAAAACTTGAACCAAAGTGGTAAATCGGGTCCTTGGTCGAAATTCTACCTACACTCTCTATTCCAAGGGGGTTCTTCACCGGAGACTGAATAGGGTCATTGAGTATGCGTTGCCACTTGAGAAATAATTCTTTTTGGAAGTTAAAGATAGCAACTGCATAAAAAATTAAGAAAAACGAACATTTAACAACTTTGGTTCGTTGATTTTGTCACCAACTTAAATTTAGTCGATCGTATACGAAGTCAACAGATCACTGTCAAGGGATAAGCTCTTTGGCACACAGATGTTAAATCACTTGAAATTAATAGCTTGGCTGATGGAGACTGCACAGCAGATTTTGAAGGATAACACATGAGGTTCGTGTTATGCTCTTTTTTTTTACTAAAGCTTAGGCATTTTAAAAGTCAAACTGGAAATGAGTGAAAGGAATACAAAGGAATTGGTCAACGAAAAGGCCAAGTGTGCAGGCCACGAAACCCACTTCTGTCCTCGACGTTTGACCAGTGCTCGACCCACTTTTCATCCTTCGCCTCAAGGCGTGCCTCCAACTTCTCTTGAAGAACGCGAGGGTCAAAACACCTGGCATGGATTTCCCGGTGTTTAATGAAGAATTCTTGCGCATCTTCAACTTGACGACTAAAATCAGCTATTTCGTGATGATAAGCCTGAAGATGAGAGTTGACCCAGCGACTGCACTTCTCGTAAAGTCCCAGTGTTCGCATTCTAGCCACGTGCGAATATATATAAGACTGGATGGCTAGGCGGGTTCGGGTCTCATCCAAAATCACTGCAATGTGAGAGCATGCGAGCTCGAAAAGTTCCAATTCCACCGTAGTACGCAAAAATGTGACAACCGTTGAGAGGGAGCCTTGAGCTTGACGAAGCAAGTCGCGAACTATAAGTAAAACAACAAAAAAGAAATATAAAAAAGATCAAACCCTCAAACGACATTCAATTCCCTGCATGCTGATAAATCCTCTGTATAGACAATCAATTAATTTTGGATTGCTAGATTTCCGATTGTGAATAGTTAATTAAAAGGATAATCAATATCTAATAAGAACAGTTCACGCAGGGATGTGGTTTGATGAAAATGAAAGCATCAAAACCGTGGCTACCTACAACAGTTAGTAGCAAATTCAATTAAGTACTTTGGTGTCTTCTTGGGCAACAAAAAACGAAGTAGCCAATTATGAAAGGCAATAATTAGTGACTGAATACATACCTTCCTTGGTTGAATCGGAAGCAGGAAGCCATGGAAAAAGTACCTCAATGGATTTCGATAGCCAGTCAAGTAGCTTTCTTAACGGAAGGAAATCAGTTGAAGTGGCGGGGGTACTGTCGATTCTGGCAATCAACCGAGCAAGCAGCGTGTATGCCAATGCCCTCTAAAATTATCAAATAGCCAACTACTTTAGGCTCAAAACATCCCTCCAGTACACAAGGCATTTAAACTCACAGGTGTCGTCCACTCATCAGATGTTGAACGTTCTACCAGCCATGCAGCATGCATGGGTGGTGGATTTAGATGGATACGGACTGTCCAAGCAGGCACAAACGCCACGTCAGCCGCCTTCTTGACAAGTGAAGGCGGTCTTAAATGAGTTCCTCCATTGTTGGTGGTAGGAGTATGTTCGAATGACACGGGATTGACCTGTGAACTACTCGATTGAGAATTCTCAACAGGAGAGTCGTCAAGGCCTCCGTCAAGTTGGGGAAGACTATTTGACTCGTGAGGAGGTCGCTGTGGAGATCCTTCAGAAACAGTAGCACCTTCACTCGATTCACCTCCTGCGAAGCTATTTGGCTGAGACTGGTCCAGATCGTTAGAATGGTGCATTGGGGAGCTGGTACAACCATCAACGAGAGTTTGCATTCGTTTGGTCAGTGTGTCGTTGGCCATACGTCTAAGTTTTTCATCTCCTTCGCCTTCATGAGTGTCAGAAGAATGGGCAGTCACCTCCGCTTTACACGCAGAACAATATATGGTGAATGTGCGGAGCTGACTCGGAGGGGCCCTGGCGATCAATTCATATTGGTCAGCTATTAGGAAGAAAAGATTATCCTTGAGTTTGTCACCTGAGAACCTGCTCCAACCGCTCGAAGCTGCACACAACTTTAGCAGTTTTGGCTACCCAAATAGTTAGTAATATGAGTTGCAGATAGAACTAGTCGAATTGCTAGACATGGCTATTAGGGTCAACTGCAGAAAGTTGGTTGCATTTATTTGACCTTACAGCAAGAACGCAGGCCACATGGGTGATGAGGGTTAATTTTCTCTTGGGAGAACACATCTCGGCGACTTACAAAAACAAAAAGGAGTAAGGAACACAAAGCAATCACACAACAGCATACCACTTCTGAACTAGAGCAATGCGAAGGAAATAAAATCGCTCATTCGGATTAATTGACAGTGAAAAGATAAAAATAATCTAACCAACAGCACAGGCTTGTCTAACTTACAAGTAAGTTTCGCACAGGCCCTGTGACGCCAAAGATGGCAGGAGTCACATTGTATCATCTCCATGGTATCCTGAAGGTATGCTCGGTCGCACTCGGGACAGACCTGTCCTTTCGCCTCGGCTTCAGAGCACTCGGCGCATTTAGAGGGTTCACTGGACCAGGGGACAAGACGTGCGGAAACATCACCCGTCCGGTAGCTAGCCACTTCCCGGTCCAGTGGCTTCACCAGGCAGTGAAGACAGTGGGTACAGTCGGGGCACACCTACCGAGAACAAAACACCTTGGCTATGAGTGCACATACCACATTACTCCAACATATAGTACACATTTGCCGCAAGAAAGCAAGTCCTGAGCTGAAGCTTGCAAAGTATAATTATCTCCAATTGTAAGCTACCACTGCTTCAGATCGACTTTACCCAGCTTAAGGGATGAATACTTGTAATATTATAGACCTTCTGATTCGTCAAGTTAATCTCTACTTTCGTAGACAGGGACATCATACACAAGTGGATTTTGACAAACTTCTCACTCTACTAATCAAGCGGTCGAATAAGAAAAAGGAAAAAATATATGCATTGTGATTTTCTGGCCATTCTGCAAGACAAACGTTCTCGTTCACTTTCTTCTTACATAAAGAACTACAAAGGACGATGGGTCTTGCCACACTGTACTTTAGAATTCTTGTGTTTTCCAACTTGATCGTCAGGTGTGAAACGTACCCATTTTCCTCTTTCGGCAGATTGAGCGGGAGCATACCCAGCCAGACAGCCGGGGTGGAACCCAGTAAAACAGCGGATGCACCGCAGTTCCGAAGCCGATTGGTTGCACTTTGCACAGGGTGTACAATTACGACATAGAAAATGATCCTTTTTCTTGGGGCGAAACTGGCGTTCTACGCAGTAGAAATGGAAGGGCTCCGCACAAGACACGCAGAAAAGCAGCTGAAATGATGCGGAGAAACTTACTAAGGTAGGCCAGTGCGAGGGTAAGAGCCAATTTTCTAGGACAAATAACACTGGAAAACGGTGTCTAATCTCGCGGCTACCTACACTTCTTAAGTAAGCTTACGACCTCTACCTATCATCAAAACAACTACACTGTAAACACGTCCAGTGAGTCGAGAGCGGTGAAACAAACTTGTTTGAATTGGCTTCACATCTTTGGTAAACAAAAAAACGGGAAAGATTTTGTCATATAGTCTCTTTCCATTCAGACTCAATTTTGATGAGAACACTTGCGGAAATTCATAAAATATAATCAAAATCGAAGTATCTCCCTATCAAACGGATAAATAACCGTAAATACTTTCTTACTAGTGCTGATTATCTGAACTGAAGCAAGCAGTAATACTTAGATTAAAAGGGAGTTCACTTACCTGGCCACCACCAGATCCACAAGCATAGCAAATCTCTTTAGGTGGCGCCGCAGCTAAAGTGGTGACAACTGGATAACCACCTTGATAAGCAAGATCAATATCAATAACCTCTCCATCAACAGGTCTGATTTTATTCTTTGAAGAGCTGCCAGGCCCGTCCTCACCAGTGGAGTCGTGCGGGGCGAAGTGCATTCCAAGATCACCACCCCGAAGAGACCGGACTGGCGCATCGGCAAACACTTCGAGGTTGTTGACCACAGATGAATTGGCAGATTCGGCTCGCAAAGTGGCAGATGATAAAGAATCCACTGACGCAGATTGGGTTAAGGTTGCAGACTGGGGTTGTGATAGTCTACTCGCCGCGTTGGAATGACTCAACAGTTGTTCCTGCAAACCTGGAACTGTATCGAGGAGGGAGGGCTGAGGTGTGGGCCCAGGAAGAGGTGGCGTGACTTGTTTCGATGATTTCATCGCTTTTTGATAAGAGCGAGGGGAGAAATTGGACGGTAGCTTAACCTTTAATAAAACAGAACTAGATCCCTCAGTATGCCCCAACACCAGAGCATATCTTCTGTCATCATAGGAAACAGTCAGATGACAACTCAAAAAAAATTTCGGCACATTTTGCGACAGCAATCAAATTTTTTTGCCAGGCTCGATTTAATTTGTTTGGTTGCATCAAATTGGGCAATTAACTCCAAAGGAAAAAAACAAAGCCTGGAAACAGCAAGGATGACATCCACACGAGATATACAGGATTCTTAGGGGACGATTAAACAAAAAAACAGTTCACACGCGGTAAGTTGGCATTACAATAACAAAGTAGGTAGATTAGTAAAGTAACTCACTCTTGGTCGATCACTTTTTGCAGCCATAAAAGATTTCCTCCTAAAGCAGAGCGTCTCTCTAAAAGCGAAAAATGAACAAGTTAGTTTTAAAAAGTAAACCAATTCACTATAAACTGATTACGAACTTGCAGATAAACTGGTTTCCAACAGATTTTCCATTGCCGTAATGAGCTTGTAGTCTGAAAAATAAGCACACATTATCAGTTAATGAGTACGATTCGAGATTACAAGGAGAGTTTCAAACTAAATGAAAATTTACCGACAGTTGCTGCAACGACCACATGGTTTGGTCAAACCCTTACAGGCCGCGCAAATTCCACAGTCAACCTTTAATGGGTTACTGCCGTCAGCGGAACTACCATCTGAGCAATACGCCTCAGCAGTGGCCGCCGAAGCGGCTATCAGAGGACTAGTGCCGTCCTGCGTCTGGGCACCGACCGCAGCCAATTTAGCCGCATGCACCATGGCCGACATTGCTTTTTCATATGATGATTCTGCTAGAAGTGATGTAGAATATGGCAATACAATACCGTAAAACGAAATTCCATGGATGACTTAATTACTGAGGAACAGACAACCAACACAACTAGACTTTTCAACAAGTTCAAGTAACTTAGAGGTACTAAGCAAAATCCATGGTGTGTCGTACTTTACAAAATTGGTAGGACTGGCGAAAAGGCAGCAGAAAAACCATGTCTAGATTTAATCGTTGTCAAAACAAAGTCTCCATAGCTGCCACTTGAATGGGCATAAATTGGCAAGGCGAATGTGTAATGGAGCCTAAGCTATCAGCGTAACAATATGTCCCTAGCCACAAACTCACCAAAAGGCTTTCGGCCAACCTGCTTGATTCTTGGACCCCCCTTTTTTTGTGTAATCGGGTGATTGCGTCGATGATTTCGACGATCTAGTCCACCACAGGAAGTAGCAGTTGACGAGGTGTCGCTTCGGGCGTCGTCGCTTAGACAGATCGAACGGCGTCTTTGCAAAAGAGGTTTTTGCGCACTATTCCATTTTCCTTGTAGATCTAGCACAGCGTAATCACCTTGCAGTCTGGACTATAATGGGGTAGAAGTAATATTGATGCGCTTGAAAATAGGTCTGAAATAGCATGGCGTAAAAAACCAGCGCTAATGCTCAAAACATTTCCAAAGTATTCGGTTAGTACATTTGACGGCGAAACTACAGATGACCACACCGCTGAAAGAAACTACCTAACGGTCGCATAACAAATGGCATCACTCACATTCACTTTGGGTTTGCGTTTGCCTTCAATGATTTTAACCGGCGTGGTACTTTGACGTGATCTCTTTGCTGCTTTAATGCTCGTCGAAGACATGTCGTGCTGCGCTAGCGCATCACCCTTCAAAGTAGTAGCATCTGTAGCTGAAACTTTTTCAGCAGGAGCTATCTCAACAACGGAAACCTTTTCCAAAGAGGCTGCTAAGTTCGATGGCTGCGTAATCCCACTGCCACTTCCCCTACGTGCAGAAAATCTGCGTCGGCGAGTCTGTTCCTCCAAGGCCTCTGCATACTTAGCGGTTAGACGACGCTGCCGACGGTCTCGAAGGACGGTAAGTGCATCACTTGGTGATTGCAGAACTGCAGACCCGTCTTCGCCGTTAACATCTGCGCTCATTAAGGTCCGGTCACTTGCCGCCTTGCCTTCACCTGATTTTATGTGCTAAAAAATTGACAAGTACAAAAGTAAACAAGAGAATCATAGATGGGGAAATAAGACAGGGAAACAAACCTTCTGAACATTTTCACTATCAGAATCAGCTTCTGACAAAACTCGCAATGAGGACGACGCACAGGAGCAGCTGCTGTCACTATCAAAGGCATTGGAATCTTCTTCTCTGAGATTTGAAGGTTTTGGAAAGTTGAGAGCACCTGGCATTAAAATAACTTCCGTCCTCTTATTCGACCGTTCCTCTTCTGCAGAGTATTGAGACATGGACGTCGCAACGTTATAGAAAATTGATCCCTTGTATAATTTCTGAAAGTGGTGAACGATTTCAGGTAGTATATTGACACACTACTTGTGTAGCCAAATTAAGCAAGGTGGTACAAAACGTGATTTCCTTAGGAAGAAGTCCCCAGTATACTGGCGTCCACACACAACTCACAATGCATGAGGAAATTAATAATGTTGTTATCTGGGCATTGGGCACATCGCATGACAGAGTTGTATGGTAGCACGTCAGTATTCGTGCAAATGTTTTGTTACACTTTCTTTAGGAGTAATAGCATGTCAATAGAATATATGAGACATAAATACGTTCGAATCGAGCCAACTTATTTACCTATTTTCATATTTAACTGTGTCCACGGGAAAAGATGAAAACGATTATGAGCATGCATACATATGACTGATCTAAATGCTGCCTGGTGCAGTTTCCAGATCTGAAACTGAGTGAAGCATATTCGAATAGAGTATTTACCTTCGAAATAGAAATGCCAGGATCGAGGTCGTTTAGGGTAACCTCTTTGCTTGGATTAGAGGCGTTGAAAAAAACTAAGCGAGCACGACGTTTGAGCCAGTGAGGTAGATGAAGACAAGGCTCAAGAGGGTGCAGCAGTCTTAGGCACCTGCGTGCATGACATGACGGACAAACGGCCCACAGCGGAAGCTGTTCCGTTTTATGCCCTCTGGGGTTGCAAGGGAGGGCCATAAGTTGCGCAAGAAGGGCAATGTCCGACGACTGGCTCCGTCGTCCCAACAGGGTAAGAACCGCCTTGTAACCAAGCGCACATAACTCACAAGTGACAGTGCCATTGGTCAATCTGAACAAATCAGAAACAGTGGTACGACATAAAGCACAGAAAGGTTGGTCCTCCTCAGTCGGGCTTCGTTGAATCAGCCTAAATAAGAAACGAAATCATACACATGAGGCTAACATGCGCCATAAAATGTGCGTACATCGAAAAACTAAACCTAAAATAAGCATTACCTAGAATATAGCTCAACATTCTTCGAGATTCCATCAGGAAGTGGATGGCAGCATGCAAGGAAAAGCGGAGAACCAATGGCCTCCAAATGTATATTCGATTCTTCCTCAGTGTCCTCCAAAGCTTCCCATGGCGTCAGATGAAGACGGAACAACGTTATACATTTTTCAAGGTGACAAAAGTCACACTTTCTCTCAATCTCTGTGCACTCGCACAATGGGACTGAACCATCACCATCTCGTTTATAAGTGTAGTACCATTGGCACAAAGTGTCATTCTTTATATCAGAAAAATTCTGGGCAACTCGAACTGCTGACTTACGACACCTCAGAACACAACCACCGCAGACACTGACATGTGGTTGATTAACAGAATTTCTTAGCCTCGCTGGACCAATCGTAACGGCATAAACGTTGGAACTCGGTTCAGAACAGATTTTGCATTCAATCATACACAGTTTGGGACCTAGTAAGTGCAAAAAAAGAGCAAATAAGTTTTAAATAAAGGGAACGTTATTATTTACAAATCAGCTACTCATTGCACAAGCAGGCTTTAGGCCATTAGTATCTTTCGTCGTGAGATTTAAAATGTCGAATTCCTCAAGCATTGACTGAATTTCAGAATAAATTTTTCTTCTAAAATTACAACGTCACCATTCAAGACTACCAATTTAGGCACCAAGCAAACATCTATACTTAACCAGCAAAAAATCAAATTCAATCAGCACACAAAACACCACAGACAATTTGCTTTAATAGCGTTACAGGCAAAAGAGCACGTTTACTGTTTAAAATTTGTATAATATTCCTAGGCCGCAAAAAGCAGGTAACATGGAAAACGTTTTTATAATGAATACGAATCACTAAAAACACAGATCACGTTCCTGCGTCAAGAGGCGGTCACTGTACCCCTATGTCAAATTTTGGATCAAGAAAAACAAATAAGGAGTTCGAAGTAAGTGAGCAGAATTGTCAGAGCAGCCGAACGCAACATTTACTTACGAATGTGTAAATATTAAGCACTTGAGGAAAGGTAACAACATAGCAAGCATAAATTAAATAATTACTAATAGAGTTGCGACCGAAAAACGAGCCAGGCGTGGTTGAGTTAACAAATTTTGCCAAACAATCTGCAGCGAAATAGGTCATACCATCACCGGTGGATAGGGTTGGGGTGGCTAGATGTTCACAGGAGCGCGCCAGATTGAGTTGTTGCTCGACTGCTTCGTGGACATCATCGTGCAGAGTGTTCGTATTGAGGACAAAATCGGAGTCACTCACTGGCTTTTCAACGGATACTTGGGGCATACTTGAAACCTGGCATGCTTCAGGTGGCTCAACCATGGCGGAAATTTCAGATGGGTTCGGAAAATTAATCAGAACTGCACGACACCAGAGGACATCAAGAAATGTTGCAAGTTGTGTTATGTCACGTTGGCCGATTTCCAGAATATCACACTTGGTGTTTATTTGATCTGAGAAAAACTCGATACATCGTTTACCACGGGCCCAGGAAGTCAAACTGGGTTTACTCAGACGGTTCACATTAAGATAATGCAAAACGGCAGTGTTCCCCAGTTTCTTTTTCTTCATCCTAATGATTATAATAGGCATCAGATAATTCATAGCAAATTAAGGGAACTCTGCAGCATACAACTTACACATTAGGCCGAAATCCTAACTGAACATAACGAAAAAGTTTGCAGGCATTGCACCAAGTTGATGGAATAGGATGAGGCTTATCCGCGTTAGAAGGTCCAGGATGTAAAATACGACACGTCGGATTTTTGATACAGACAGCGTCTTCAATGCGACTGAGACTCGAACAAGTACTACTCAGAAAAGACTCACACTTCTCACAAGTGAGGCGTGTCGAGCAAGGCCCACTTCGGTGGACGTTTTCGTCAGAACCGCAGTATCGACAATTGGGCTTCTCGTTTCGTACTTCTAAAAAAATTGAATTTAAAACATTTTTTTCAAAGCTGTGAATTAAAAATAATTAAAGTAGACTACAGTAGCACAAAAAATATTACCTTTCATCAGCCTGACTGTGGGAGAATCTATCTCGACCTCGGCACGGCTCTCACTGAAAAACAAGAAGCGAAAATTAATATTTTAGAGCATAAAATGCATAAATAGCTTATGCAGATAGGAAAACGATATCTTGAGAAGATGGAAACACTTTAAGAGTATTCGGAAACAAATTCGATAACGCTAACCGGCGATGCTTACGTAGCTGTTGTGGGGCTACTTTCAACACCAAAACTGCAAAAACTGTCGTTGAGCCTGCGTTCCTTAACTACAATAACACCACAAATCGCTGCCGGATGCTTTTTCGTTAAATTTCGAAACTGCGGCTTGGATTTCCAGAAAACGGGACTGGAAGAGAGTGAAGCTTGGATAAGCCTTTGATCAACCTCCATTTGAAGTTCACTTGACTTCAGTTCATCAACAACAAATCGACCTGAAGCATTACATCCAGTTTTCATCCTTCTCATTAACGCCTAAATTACCATTTCAGTAACCGAATGTCTTTTTACCCTTTTATGAAGCATAAACTTTCTTCTGCTGATTGTCGTCGAAGAAACTTTAATACAATTTATTTCGTTAAGCTCGAATCCACATGAGCCACTATTTGGAAAATACAAGGGCAAAAGGTTTTTGAAAGAATCCTTTGTTTTACATAACCGCAACCAAGCCTGATATCGAGCAAGAGGGATGGGTCTCCTCGAACGACCCATACTGGAAAACGAAATACTAAACCAATCAAATCGAATCAAGCGCTCCTACCGATGACATAAAACAATGCCAAAATTTTTAAAAAATTTATGTTGAGATGTTTATCCAAATGTAGTTTTTTTACTTCTAATCAACGTAGTTTTTTACAATTAACATTCTGGCAAAAAATTCTTATTCGCGTTACACTAATTTGAAATCAATGTTTTCAAGCCTCATTTTTTTTCGGTTACAAACCGAAGGCTGTATAATTTCTATAATATTATTTATGTGTAAAAAAGCAGGGCTACCATGTCCAGACAGTTGTTTTTTATTACGGCATACATAATTTGTTATTCAAAGTTAATATAATTCATTAATTCAATTTATTTACTCAATTTTATTACCATACCGAATTGCTTTAGGATAGAATTTCGTAGTGCCATTGTGCTGGCATGCACTAATTTAAATGCAGTGCCCAAAAAAAGAACGTGGCAGTCTCACAGAACCTGCTTGATACTTTGGGATGTTTTATCCTAGTTTTATCCTGTTCAGGGCTGATCAGAACCCAATTTAATGTAAAATACGGAACTCTGGGTATTGACAAGTACCACTCTCGGGTTTGTGAAATGTTCATATCATAGAGGCTGTACTGATATGAATTATAATCCTGATTTGTTCCTCAATGTAATGTTCGCTCTAATACCCTTAAAAATTGCGCCGTTTGAGTATATCGGTGACTGAATATTTTTATGGCTTACTTGGCGATAGCAGATGAGTCAAACCAAAACAGTCTTTACTGGGACTATTCAAAAAATACTTTCGTCACTTATTAACTACTTGTTAAAGGTATACTTGAATCATTTCCTTTTATTTTTGTACATCTGCAATCAGTTTGTTTAATTACCCATTTTAACTGTTAATTTTTGTCTTTAGCTTTTAGTATCCATTAATTGTTCGATTTTGTAAATAAAAGAGGCACAGTGAATCTAAAATAGCCCACAGGTTTCAGGAACTGTTACAATTGTTTCTTCATTCAAGATTCATTTTTAGTCCGATTCCCTTTGCTATGTATGAAGTACGAAGTAAAAGAGTTAATAAAAGATTGTTCTTTAAATATTTATTTACCAAAATGACTTAAGCATTGCATGAAAACGTTCCTTATTTGCAATTTTTTTATAATGCATAAATATTGCTTATCCAATCATCTGTCTTTGCGTGTTTTAATGGCCAAGGAGGAAGATTAGCAGCCAATTGGAGACATGGACATATCGAATGTGTGGCGACGGCATCAGATGCCCAGATTGATGGCTGTATTTAGGCCCATCTGGCCTGTGAAATACTTATAAACTCTCTTTTAATTTTACCTGTCCTCCCCAAACTAAGTCTCGGGTACTATGTGATATTTGCCAAGCTGAAAAGGTCTTGTATTGTCTAGAGCAAAAGGGTCTTGCTGATAGAATAAAACACGAGACTGCAGCTGAACGGATATGATCATCTGTCCCTTATTATAACAGTATTTTCGAAGATCAAAGAGCGTATTTATCAACACCTCTTCTGGTTAAATACTGTGTTTGTCAATTGATCAAATATATGGATGCTTCAGGTTAACGCTCTTGAATGCCTTTTGATGATGTTGGGGTGTAGCACTCCTGGTAAAACAAACAGATTACTTTTACGTATCTGTGTAGCACGTGATACCGTAAAACAGGAGATTCATACAGTGTAATGGAAAACCTAACTTCCTATAATGCTGTAGAAAGCACACTTTGCGTTTAGGTTCTTTTTTCCGAATTAGGAAGAGAGGAGACGGATTCTAAGCAATAAATTTTTTTGTAATTTATAGTTTACCCTTAACATCCCCAAATAAACCAAGACTTTGAATTCCATCATGCCGGTAGAATGAGCATACTTCATTGTGCATGAGTTAATCCCGCTTTTAAGAAGATAACCAAGTAAATTCAAAAATTAGTATTATACACAAGTGCTTGGTTGATATACAAGCTGATTTACTATAAATGCACATGGTGCTTGGTCGTGGAGATCGATAACAGCTTGGATGTGTCACTGGTAGTTCAGTGAGCCAAAATTGGCGGGATTCACCAATTCGTCACTTTGAGTAAAGAAACACGAAGGAGACTTTTTCAGCGGCGAGGAACTGAGTGCCCTCGTTCCTAAATCATCCCCCTCATCCTCTCCATCGGCATCGCGGTCCTCATCACTAAACGCGAACACGGAGTGAGAAGGAAGCGCGCGGGAAAGAGAACTCGATGTGGACGCCAATGGAGACTTCTGATGATCTTCGTTTCGCATTTTCTTCGACTCATTTCTACTCACCCTTTTCAACATGGTTGCCTAGGAAGGAGAATTTAAGTTAATCAGTGGAAAGGATATCGATTTTGATTTACTAAAACAGAAACACATGGGAGGTGTGCTGTTCCCTCAATACCGTTGCACGATCCACAAAGTGCACTAGCAAGTTGAATCCAGTTAACTTAATGTTTCGAAATAAAACAGACGAGGGGGGATATTGAGTAGTACAATAAATGCCGTCCACGAGTTTTGCGAACAACCAATCTTCATATCTCCACCAACTTGTCTCTCAAAAAGTTGGGAGTACTCTCGACTCTTTTTTAGTTCAACCTGAACCTGTCTCTTGTCTGACTCACACCGTTTACAACTCTCGCTCGGCTCCCCTTGGATCCTGGTTTCCAAAAAGACCAAAATAACCTCGAATACAGTACGACAACGATCAGCCATCATACGTTACCATTCTTAAGATCGGACTTTCAGATCTCCTGCTGGAATGAAATCTTGTACTGAAAACATTTAATTCGTTCAAACGTCTTTCGATAGTGTATTATGGTTACGATAATTTTCGTGCGAAGCTCAACTGACTCAAGCATGTCTCGACGAACACCAATTGGTTTGCTTTGTTAGTTTTGCGATCTACCTTTCAGATATCCAACAAGAAGTTATGGCTGGCATCTTTGGTCGAAACACAATTATGACCCGACCCTCGGCTCTTAATCTCAATTGGCTCACGACCACATCTCATGATAAATCCTGAAGTTACCATAATGGAAGAAAGGATCAGTCGATTTCTTTTGCCAAAAGAGAGAGCTGCTAGCAAGCAAGTTGTCTGAGACGGGCTCAAAGTAGTTCGCAAATGTTATTATCAAGCATGAGCAAACGTTCCCGAATTCAGCTACTTGATTTAGGTTAACATCTCACGTAGTGATATTAGGTCAGTGTTTTAACTGTATCGCCTCTTAGCAGTGAGCGGTTAAGCTGGTCGCGTCGAGTCCGCGCAGAACATCAACCTTGGCGTGATTCGAGACTCAAATCGACGTCATTATAATAAAATTAACGAGCTCACTTACATTTTTTTCAAATATAGAAATAGTAATTACATTTCTTCACAGCCTGTACTTGCACTAGACATCAGTTTATATGGAAGTCTCTTCAACAGCAAACCCTGTTTTTACACAAAATTAACAACGCGTTTGTCATTATGGAAATTTGAACCGTCGGGCCTACTTAAAATAAAGGCAATGGTTCTACTCATGGCAGTGAACAAGCGCAGAATGCCGTGCACTTCGCAAGTTTAGCCATAAATCCAAAGTTGCAGTTGGCATGGCTTGAAACCAACAGGGTGGGTAAAAAGGAAGAGATCGTGATTAGGGGTCTTGGCAGTACTGAAAATTGTGGATTTTGAGAAAAAACAGATACTCAATCAAACGTTAGGTTACGCAACCAAAGAAGCGGAATTTGAAATAATTACCTTAAGAGCGGAGCGTAAGACAGTTAATTGTCCAGGAGGTTGGACGAAGGGTTCACCATCCACCTGAATTGGGAGCTCAGACTTCATTATTATCTTCAACTAAACCGAAGAGATAACTTTAAGGTAATATAAAGTGGTACTCAATAGTAACGCGCATGTAAAAAAAGGATATTTGGGTAAATTCGACTAACCGTTATATGGATAAAGTCATTTGCAAGTCCACAAGGATGTGCACAGGATAAATACCATATTAAGTCAAAATCCTCAGAAATTCAGGCGCTATGAACATTAGTTTGAAGAATTCCTATTTCAAGTAAGCTTGTTCCAAATACTAGTCGCAAATGATGTAACAAAATTATGACGAAGAAACACGTGACTGCATGCATCTCGTTGAAAACTAAGAATATATGGCCAAAAAGGGACAAAAATTTGCATCCAATAAAATCCACTGAAATGAAATCTGTTACATGGGCGGCTTGGGCGAGTCGGATGCCAGAGCGTAGGCCTGAGTAGATCTGTCCCATATGTAGGACTCCGCAGATTCCGACGACTTCCAAAAGACCATCGTAGTGGGTCGGCTTGAAGAAAGTCTCATCCTTGTCGAGGCCCCAAGGGTTAGCGCCGCCACCCCACGAAAGAATGTTTAACACTACGATTCCTTCGAGGGGCGGAAGATCGAGGACTTTTCCGTCAGCTTCAACGACAACCTTTTTATGCAGGTCCTTGCACGTTGAGCGATTCACCATCTTGCGGAGACCGATCTTGAAGTAGACAGACTTATTGTGAAGCCTATAAGCGACACAAACAGATTTGTTTTAAAACGCGATACAACTTACTTCTCGGAGTAACTTTTTCTTCCTTACTTCCAATTGCAATTTCAGTGCAAAAACGTAAAGAGTCCCTTTGGAATTGCTCAACATCAATTAAACCTAATCACTAAATTGACAAACACGAATAGGACTAATGCGTAATTATGAGAGAAGCATGAGGTGCGGGAGTAGCAGGAAAACAATACAGTTGAAAAAGTGGCCACAATATCTCAAAGTGCTAGCAAAACCCGTAGTATTCAAAATGATAAAGTGGGAAATATTGACTACCTTACATTTCATTATCATTTGGGACTCAGCATTAGTAAATACTTAGTGTGGACCGGATGCAACCTAACCAATAAGCATTGAAAAAAAAAATAAAATAAAGGTGGGATCGAATACATTTGGGCCACCATCACGTTTTAAGGAACAATTAAACCACTCCAAACAGCACTTCATCCTAAGTTGAACGGTTTCAGCATAGCCAAACTGGCACTGATGTGGAACTCACCGACTGTTGAATTTTGAAGGATTCTCAGAGCGCGCATTGTGAAAATCAAGAGCGAGATCTGCATCGATGCCGATACCAAAGTAGTTATTCATTATGACCAAAAATGAATTGTCTTCAGTTGTATTCTGAGAATTGGTTTGAATGTGTAAAGCAGCTTTAACCTCGTCCTTCATTTCTTCATCGGAACGTCCCACAAGTGTCCACCTACGCATTAAGGATTGTGTGGTACCAGTTACAAAATATCTAGCCAATACAATGACTTGGTACTTGCGACACGATCAAATAGAATTTCAGTAATGATTACGTACTTAATTAGGTTCAATGAATCAAAACATAAAATGATAAATGAAACAGTCTTTTAATTATAATATTCCTGGAGTTTTAAAGAGCAAACAACGAACTTATTTCATCCTTTTAGGAGGCTATCAACATGAATGTTCGATAATTTTTTTTTACAAAACAACCCAAAGAGGCATGTGCCCTATTTGTCAACATTATACTTTTTTGGTAAAAGTAAAAGTTTAGTGAAAGGCAAAAAACGGGCTAAGCACTCGAAAATGCATCGATAATGACAAGTAATCAACCGAAGCAAAATTTTGTCAAGCCCAAAATACACACATCGGGTTGACTGTAGAGAACTGAATATCTTCTACTTAACATAACAAACCGACAAGTGTGGAGTTTTAATTAAATCATCAGAACAGGTAGAGGAAGTAGGCATTCTGCCTATGAGGGCACCACCGAAACCCAACACAACACTATACTGCAGCGTACTCTGTTTCCGCATTAGACAGATGAATTGGAAATAAAGTGAACGCAATAGACACCGGTAAAAAAGATCGATTGGCAGTTTGGCCTCATCTTCTAAGCAGCGATCGAATATTTTCGCACTCAGTTAATAGGTTAATTTCTAACATCGAATTTCTGGTATGTAATAGTGACGATCGCCATAAAACGCACCTATCTAACCGGACTTCCTCAGCGGCGGCAATATTTTTAAGTATCCGGAGGGGACCCTCAGCCGAGGTGTACCCACAACCCCAGTTAAGGACCCGGGCAAGGTCGTTTCCGGTGCCAAGAGGAAGGATGGCGATGGGTGGGGAGTGGCAAGCGGCGTCCTGACCTACACTGTCCAAGCAAGAAAGTGTCCACCCGATGGTCCCGTCGCCGCCGCACACAACCAATCGGTAGGAAGCCACCTGACGAAAGCAGAAAAGGCCCGGCAGAGGACCCCCTACGTCCAAGTTGAAAACCTCGAAATTCAAACCAAGCGTTTAGCCAGGACTACTGACCTCTTCAATTAGGTACGGCGACATGGTGGGTGGATGGGTTAGTATGTCTTAAGTTGTCACTTTCAAGATGCTAATGCTGCGCGCTTCTAACGATTTTAACTAAATTGTAGGTAATAAAATTAATAGATAAAAAGGAGGCAAAGGAAAATTTCATTGCGTGAAAAAGTAGAAAGGAGTGGATCGAAAGTAAACAACTCATCAAAATCAATTTTATTAAAGAACAGATTTATAAGTTTGAACTGAAAATTTCATCGCGAGCTAAAGCTGAACGCTCTATTTGTTGTGTACATGATTCAAGGCCTCACCAACGATACAAAAACAACGACAGTGTTAGCTTATTTCATCCGTACATGTAGCCAAGACAAACAGCCAGATAAGGGATTATATCTTGCTACCGTTTTAATGGCAAGTGGGTGACAAAGAAGCAACATCCAAAACAGACTATCCAACAAAAAGGCTGTCTTAAAAAGTGTACGGGAAAATATGAAATTGTTACCAGAGGACATACCTGAAAGGGATTAAGTAGACATCGGAAAGCAGTCATCAACTCGATACCTTGGCAGCCTCCAGATTTAATATTAACGAAAACGAGGAGAGGTTGTACACCAACTGGAATAAAATGTGGCAGAATCTTGGGAAGCATTAGTACTACAAGCGGACGCTCCATTATGTAAGCATTCTAAAATGGAGAATTTGGTTGGAAGCAACATAAAGTTCAGGATTTAAATGACAACGAATGAAACCCTGTAAACACAGCCACTTCTCGTCTTGGTCTGCAAGGCGGTAGGCTTCAGTAAATGCACACCATCATGCCAATCAAGGCACAAAAAAGACTACGCATCCTCCCACAAGAGGGGTTACCCAATTGAGGAGATATTATTGGGTACATTAAAACACATTTTCCGGCAAAAATGTTGCTCAATTGACGCATATAAAGAATGGGTTTGTTTAACCGGCACCGACTTCCACATTTTTACCGATAGTTTAAAACAACTTAAATAAAAAAACAGTAACGCCTGAATTCGTAATTTTAACTTTCAAGGGAGAATAGTTGAGTGCTATGTGTGAAGATTGGGACGTATCAACCGTAGAAACACAAACTGCATACATGGAGACTAAGGGGTTCATTTTGATACGGAAAACGATGACAATGGAGCGAATGCGAAAAATAATTTATGGAAAAATGGATTCATCTGGAGTCTTGTTTCAACTTCTATAATATATACGTTTTCAGTTGGATCCCCCTTTCAGACTCAAAGGAAAAAAGCGAACAATGCAAGTCGTCTTAAGCAGGATTGGAGAAGAGCATTCAAAACCAAAGTATGAAGGTGTTGTGAATCGTGTTTATTCGCACCCCCTAATCCGGTGGCTCCACCTCCGACACAGGGTTCTCATTTTTTCGCAGCATGTCGCCAGACGCGCGAAGCCTCAACTCCCACCTCATTCACACGGGTTTATCTTGGATTATCCTCACACCTAGGTCTCGATGTTAGCGCGTGTATGACTCACACATTCGAGGCATAAATACACACACGCAAACCCCACACGCCACCACGGCTTCTCGAATAAGCGGTTGACTGCCTGTCCTCCCGCAGACTTCATCCTTGTTGGGTAGTTAGTGGTATATGGCGTCGCGACGAAGGCTACTAAACTAAGATTTCCGTCAGTAAAATTACGAGTTCTTACCGGTGAGCAAATATAGCATTAAGCAAGTAAGGGAATTAGAAATTTCACGTCCAATTACTCACAAACTGACACGGAACGAAATTCGATTCTTAAAGGTTAAATGAGTTGCGCCTGTTATCTTAAAAGGTTAATGGGCAGGGATATCTAAATAAATATTTTAATAACAATTTAGACAACTTTGGTACATTAGAAAATCTATTAAAAAAATCACCAATGTAGAAAATTGGGTTCTCTAGGTGAAATTATTCTTTAAATTAACACAGACTCGAAAGACGCAGGTTAAGGCAAAGCTATCAAGACTAGGGCAGGTTCAGTACTTAGGCAGATGGAAAAATAAAATTAACTCATCAATTGACTACATTTGGATAGTACACATCGATAAAAATAGTTAAATCATGGACAAATTGCAGTCTGAGCAGCAAAAGTACTAACATTGCCTGCTAATAAAAAGTGGGGCTTAAAAGCGAAATGATTATTTTTCGCGAAAAAAAGACGCACACCATTTACTACTTGACAGTCTCTTGTGAGCAGAATCTGCAGGTTCCCGAGTTGCTGTAGCGGCCCTTACACATTACTATATGTAGACCATGACCCTAGCCGATCCCTGAACAATACAACGAGTCACCCATGGCATAGGTCAGCGCCGAACGTTTACACGTAATTCTGAGTAGCACTGGTCATAGTTCGCGCTGCAACAAGTTTTACCAAAATGAAAATTGGAATAGGGTGACAGCATGACGAAAATGTGATTGAATGAAAAGTATGAGTAAAAATTCCACTGTGGTAAGATAAATTAATGCAATATCACTGAAAATGGCGTAATACTATGCATGCTGGCGGTGCGCATGCAGTGGCATTTGTTTAAGAATGCGTGCACATCTAATGAATGCTCAAGAGGGCAGTAAATCTTAAACGAACCCGAAGTTTCTCATAGGCCTCTTCAGCCAGTTCGAAGGTAGAGAAATTTAACACGAGGCATCCGCTCTCGTAATAAATAACTTCAATAGACTCCCACTTGAGATGATCACCCAGCTTTCGCGTCAGAAGTCGTTCATACATGCACTGAGAAAGATTCTCTTTCAGATTGCCCACAAACAAGGGCACGGTAGATGTTCCCGACATTTTTCCTGAAGCCAAGACTGCTGGCCGTGCGTCTGATCCGCGCCGCAGACAGAACCGGGTTAACTGCAGGGCCCGACACGACTCAACGCGGATTGTGCTGAGCAGGCCCCAAGGACGGTCATTTGCGTCCAGGATCCGCTCGCTGACGCAGAAGTTTAAGGAGACCATAGTCAAGCGCAAATGTGAGCATTCAAGCTCCTGAAATAGTAAGAGGAAACGGAGATCATTCCCTGGGCCGTTTCACTTTCAGCTACCAAAATACCCTTGTCAACGACCTTGTAGATAAATATTCCACGTTTGCTCGATGTCTTTTCTATGATACAGAAGACCTTACATAAAACCGCAAACCACTTACGATGAATCCAATTCAATTCTCCATCAGCCACCTCAACACGTTATTTACAATAAGCGACTACGTTCATGCTTACAGCGTCATGTGAGACACAAACTTCCACCATTGACTGAGCTTTTCCGACAGAAACGATTCCATATTCAAAAGGGAATGCAATGAATTGGTCACAGCACCAAGCAACTCTGCCTTGATAAACCTGCGCCTGTCATTAGAATTAAGCCGACCCCATGGCTGAGATCTTCTCAGCAAATATGAGGCAATAGTAAAAAGAAGCATTCATGCACTGCACAATTATGAGGTTACCTGAGCTCAAGACGTGACCTTAGAGCATGACAGAGAGACTCCAAACTTCATGAATCCATTCGTGTGCTGTCTACAGAATATCTCTTAAATTCGTTCTTTTAATTTAAGCTGACTTGCAGGAAAATGCAACACGAAAGTTCTTTGTTCGTATGGTTTGTGGATTGATTGTTTATATGACTTGTTGCATAATCAGAAGTACGACTTCGATGTAAACACATTAGCTTACAAATCGCAGAGGATTTCTGCATAACGATGATAGTTCACAGGAACATGTCCTTGTCTCATACTTTAAGCTGGCAACAGAAATGCTGATGTCAGTTAAAAGAGTAAATTTGAAGGTTGTATATTTGGAAAGTAGCGAGGTAATAATCAGATGTTATCCACTCTTCGAGTCATGATAATAAAAAAGTGATTTATAGAGTAGGTTGATTATTGGGAACAACAAGGACACGTCTAAGCCACCTAAAACGCACTAACAGGACTGAAGGTGGTACAGCTCACCTCGATGGAATTGCGTACTAAATACTACAGTTTTCTTGAAAACACCAAATTATATATCCATCTTTTTCCTAAGAAAATAAGAACCAGAATACAAATCAAAATTTCCCCTAAGTAGACAAATTTAACTATGATAAAAACAAGGACAAGTTTCAGACTGGATGTACCACAATAGGTAGAGCAGCCATGAACGCTTGACCACATTTTATGAGAAATTCAATAGCACGTTATTGAGATTTAAACCAGGTTGTTATCGAAGTATCACGCGTTTGCACATGGAGAACCTCCCAAGCAAAAAACGAGCAGCGTCTTGCTTAAAAACGGCGATAAACCTATTACAAGACTAAAAAGGGTCCTCTTACGGTGGGGCTCATCTTTTGAAAAGCCTGAACTGCCTTGAAAACAATTGACTGTGCCGTTGTATTCTCATCTAAGGGCAATTCTACTGACTGTTCACAGTCATCGATTCTAAAAACAAGAAAAAATCAGATATTCACTCAAGAGTATGCAAAATACATTAAAATAGAACCTAGGAAACGGCGCGTAGTGACGAGAAGACAGATTTACTACAAAACTGCACAGTCTTTGATAAAACAAACAAACAATGACTTTAAATGGATTTGTGAAAACCCAAATTTATAGGCGCAGAAACAAGTGGATGTTTTCGTAGTCAACCAAGGCACTGTATTTTAATAATAATTTTTTTGACATTTGGTGAATAAGCGCCTTTTAAAATCCTCACTCATGCCTTTATTAAAGTTCTTAACTAACCATAGGCAGGCACAGGTAAACGCGCCGACAACTTAGGTGATGAAAAGAGTGGTTTACAATCCACAGGAAACCAAACTGTTACATTCCCTAGGCACAACGGCGGTCGTCTTCAATGATTTTTCCCACTGCCCGTCTAATTAAGCTTCAAAGCAAGTTAAATCATAGGCAACGGTTCCCAGAAAATGTCTCCTTGTAGCAAAATACTTCCAAATTCCACGAATTTTGACGGTTTCATTTTACAGGAACATTTAACCGCAAACCACTCGACCCACACAAATCGTGACTTTGGTATTCGAACAATGTAGCCCAGAAGGGGATGAGTCAAGAATAGCATCACCCTTACAGTAGTCCCAACAGAAACAGCGTACCATCGTCGATTGCAAGAGATTAGTTTCGGGAGTTTACAACGAAAAAGCTTCAAAAACCAGAAAACATTACTTACACAAGATCACCACTGAACACTTTAATAGTTGAGAGATAGGGGTCTTTGGAGCATTCACGACGAAAAATGAGAGTTGGTCTCTTTGGATCAAAGCTTAGTTGGTTTCTGAAGTCCTCATCCATGTCCAGTTTCAATTCGCTTCCATCTATGGAAGTATAAATGCTAGTAAAATCATTTGAACTGCTACAGCAACATTATGACTCAAATATGCGCCAAACATTTTTTAAAAGAAAAAAATATACATTGTTGCATTCCAATATTTGTTTACAAAGACGTAAAACACAAAAGACAGTTTGTTACCTGTCACTAAATAGATTATTTGGCAACAAACAATCTATGATTGGCCCAGATAACATAAACGTCAGGAAAAATTTAACGCACCTACTTAGTTGGTCAGGTTATTTTGTGTAGATACGTTAGTAATGACAGAAATTTACTTAAAAACTATTTACGGCTTCTGATGTCACCTTGGTTGTCTACACGGTTTTGGGGAGTTGGGTGGAAAAATGTAAAAAAAACCTGTCAACCAATTTGGGCGAATTTCGATTATACAAGAATATTAGCCGAAAAAGCGTACATAAAACAGCCACAATTTTAAACAAGTTTAATTGACTTCGAGAGCGCATTGTTGCTCATTATTTTCCTAATTTGAGCAAGCACATATTTGAGAAAAAAGAGGCTTCACCTATGTAAAGCTGACTTACGTGGCAATTAAACAATGACACTCAAGTAGAGCAATATGTGTTCCAACAGAGTGTGCTTTTCAAAATGTGCAGTTTTAAGAATTAAATGTGGTTTTACGACATTCACCAAGTTAAGAAAGATGAAATGTGAATTTCGAGTGATAAGAGGCAACAATATTGAGCCAATTTTAATACAGTGCATTTTTGAATTGCATTTGACTACAACATTAGAGAAAAGAGATAAAAAGTAGATCAATTTACGAACCTTTTTCATTCATTTCATACAGGGTGTAGTCCTTGGGGTTGCCGACTAAGTAAAAGGCCTTTAGGCACTGGCTCATTGCCTTCTCAGTTGACATAGACTTGGAAAAACTGAAACTTCGGAACGACCTACTCATCAGACCATATTCGCCGTCTAGCGCGCAGGCATAGTCTGTGGGGAAAAAAGAGACACTAAAATGTTTAAATCAAGCCAGATCGAGATGTCAAAAATATAGGTTTAGCACCCTTCGTAGGGCCTTCTGAATTTCGATTGACGGGGTGTCCCACGAAAACATTAAGGCATTCAGCGTGAGGGTACACACTGCAAGGTATCGAGGCGTGAAGGCGTCACCAATCGCCTTGAGGAAAGTTGGTTGGCGGATTGTGTGTGTAAATATTATTCGCAATTCGATGTTGCCCGTTACTTATATTCCTTTCAGTAAATTAAGTTTTCGCTGTTATGGTCACGTAAAAAAAGTTCTGCCAAAAGGGCAATGCATTAAAGAGCAGTCCCATAAAAGTGGTAAACACTTTAAATGCAAACAACCAACAAGGACAAACAAGATTTTGGAAGCTTTGTCAATCCCACAGAAATCCTTCGGAAAAAACATCAAACAAAAGAGCATAAGGTGAATAATCGATGTGCCCTTAAAATTACAACCTACATTCAGAGGGTTTGAGGTAAATTTGGTTCCGCGGGGGTAAATAGAATCCAGAAAAGGAAGCAAACATGATCGGTGAATGGGTTTGGTACAAATTACACAAGTAAGGATATGAGACGGTGCTGGAAAGGACTTAACATGCGATTGGACTTAATTGAATACGCATCGAATGATGAAAGTCATTAAATACTTTTGCGATCTCCGCAAACTCATGGAAAACGAGGCAAACCATACCTGAGATTGTAATTACAGCAAAGATGTGGGTAAAAGTAACAACCAGAAGGTAAAAGATTGCGAAATGAATAGGTGTGAAGTTCTAGCTCGATAACGGAACTGGAAGAAGTAAACTCGGTCATAAACAGGAAACTCCAACATCTACCCTCAACAATAGGTCTACACTGATCGACCAGTGAATTCTTAACAGGCCTGCTTACTCATATTTAGCAAATAGGCCTTCTTTAAAAAAAACCCAAACTGCAGAACGTAAAATGAATGTTTAGTTTTTGGGAAATAGCACGAAGATGCCCCAGTGACACCTTGCGCTATTTAATGGACACCCAGCAGTCAGACATATACGTTCGGTCAAAACCAGCAGGTCGTGCTAAATTAATTTGATTTAAAAGTGAAGAAATTACTGGGAGGTGAATAGCAACATTAGAAATAGACAATTTCCGGTACGATGAATTCGAAATGCTTGTCTAATTGTAGTTGACAAGATGCAAAAATCATACATTAAAAACCTACCATCAGAGCCATCGCGGTCGGCGGAGTCACGGGTTCCACGAGAGTCACGGCAGCTTTCTTCCTTGCTCTCCTCACTACTTGACCAGCAATCGTAGAAAGTGCGAACTAGAGACACAAAAGCCAAAAAAAAACTAAATACATCCATCAACGAGGTTTCTGAGATTGAGGCGATACCGTTTATTTCGAGTCACACAAAAAACACAAGAATAAATAGTTTATGAAATGTAGAAAAACCTTAACGTGTGAGATGGGCGTAAATTTCTGCGAAAAATCTACATCTCGTAAGCACTTCAGACAAAAAATAATAAGTCAACGAACATTGATTAACCTAGTTTCCATTCGGTTTGATTGGAAACGGTAAATTGAATGTATGGTTTCACTTATAATTTTACACCCGATTAACTACAAATCCCTCGGCTCAATTTACCAGACCAGTTTGCGTTATACAACTTGATGTCTCAAGAAAAGGAAACAAGTTACGATTAAAGTGATTGACGCAACTGCTACAATTTGTTTTAGTACGCAGACTAAAAGTCGCGTGAGGTAGTATTAGCAATCGTTGACATTTGTAAAAAGCAAAGTATTTTGCCCCATATCCACAAAATCGAACATCCTGTAGAGAGTCGCATCGATTCACGGCCATAAACTCCCTTACTGCATTATCCAATACACTGCCCCCCCCCCCAGTTCAGCCGTGCGGGACCGTCTACTTCACCACGCTGTACACACATAACACAACCAGATTGAGCCATCTAGTAAACGGTTGTCTGCCGTCTCTGGTCTCCTTCATGTCTTCCCAGGTGTCTGAGTAGCGCGAACGGGCCAA